GACTTGGAAAAAGTTTAATTTGATCTGGAAAAGGTTGAATTTGACTTGGAAAAGGTTGAATTTGACTTGGAAATGACATAGAAATATCACACTGAAAAAATCTAAAATGTTAAAATAAATGGATATGCAACCGCGTTATCAAATTTTTTTTTGTATTTTTCAAAAGCTATGCCTTCGATAATATAGTAAGTGGCCTTCATTTCGAAAAAAATCGAAAATTGACAAAAATTCGAAAGTTGAATTTGAAATGGAAAAGGTTGAATTTGACTTGGAAAAGTTTGAATTTGAAATGGAAAAGGTTTAATTTGACTTGGAAAAGGTTGAATTTGATTTGGAAAAGGTTGAAATTGACTTGGAAATGCTATATAATACTGTAATTCGTCCTAGAGTAAAATTATTTTTCTATTCTATTCTATTTCAAAAATATTTATAATATGGATGAAAATATCGACAATTGATATTTCAAGTCGGATATTTTGCTGGCATCGATAGGTATAGCCCTATCTTAATATCGATATTGGGCCCTTCGATATCCCATCCCAAATTTCGATATCCGGACAGTAATTTAAGAACTAAAATACTTGGTATTATCCAGCCATTTTATTTCGGGCAAGTGCTACGAATTATTTATAAACAGGTCGTAACGCGTTAAGTGAATGAGCTTACAAACCTATAGATGAATAAGGCTCCAGGTTTTTGAGAATCCTTAATTATAATTATTTCCTTAATCTCCTGGGTGTCTTTAAATTGGTCTGAAAATGAATTATTACGATACCAGGTACCTGCAACAAACTTCTAATCTTTTCTGTCCTAAAGAAAGGATGAATGAATGAGGCAGGGGTGCGCAGCGACAGGGGGGTTTCACAGCGCAAGTTTAAGCCATCAAAATTTGTAAGGAGAGCATATTTTGACAGGGTTTTGAATTTTTGAGGAGGTGGGGGACATTTTTCGACGGGGATGTGAATTTTCGGATTGAAAAGTTTCAAACCAGTGGACAAGATAAAAGCATTGTACAGACCATTGGAAGTGTAATTGTATCTGAACTATGATTTTTTAAATTTCACGTTAGTTTGCACTGTCTTTAAGAAGAGAAGAGAAATAAATTATCTTAGAAGGGAGGGAAGGAGAAACCTTGGGAAGAAATGAGGTAAATATAGAATCATAGGACTTTTTCCGGTTGTCTATAAGATAATAAATAATAACATGTTAAACAGGATACATTCATATTATGAAAATATAATGGATGACAACCAAGGAGTTTGTTTATTAAATCATTTTATACAATTATATTTATAATATATTGCTTCCTCGCTACCGAAGACAGAGAAGCATTGTGTTAGTTTTTGTTAGAAAATTTCCACTCTCGTTTTACGTTTCAGACATCAAGGATCAAATTTAATTCGGTGTCTGTCTGTCTGTAGTCAAACCGATGTGACGGGCATATCACCTAGTACAGTTCATCCGATTTTCATGAGATTTTCAGGGATTATGCGGATTGGTGCCTAGATGGTCCCATATCAATTTTATCAAATTCCATTCAGCACTTACGCACGTGCAAACGTATTTTTTGAGATATGCCAATATTTCAGAAATGGCTCGTTCGATTTGGCTCAAAGCTAGATAAAAGGTAGACATTGGTAAAAAAATAATGTAGTGTCAATTTTATTGAATTCTGTCCACTACTTCATCTTATATATGAGCTACTAGTCTCCAAAACTACCGGACCGATTTTTTTCAAATTTGGATATAAAATCAGAGGCCACCCGAGGATGATCCTCCTTCATCCACATTACTATCCGTCTTCTACTTTCAAATTGGCGGCCGAAAAACCTGCGTTGCTATAGAATGTAGCACCTAAACAAGTGTACCGATTTCAATGAAACTTCACTAAAGTCATTTTCTCTACGCCCTTTAAATTTATTTATATAATATACTTCAACGAAAAGAAGCTGGAAAAAAGATTACGAGGGATAGTAAAATTAAATTCCGAATAACTCAAGAAGTATACACTTTTTAAAAGTTTACGGAATTCCCTATAAAAAAAAATCGGACAATTAGGAGCAAAGATATGGTCTCTAGTTTTTTTTTAGATGTTCTACTGCATTGAATGTTGAAGGGTGTAACTGTATTTTCGAATCGGCTTCTCCCAGAGGTTTTATTATGACAAGAAAAATTGTATACCTTGTAATATACAACGAAAACGGCGAGAAAGCTATACTGACCTTACTTGGCAGACTTTATTTTTTTTTTTTATAAATTAAGTTACTCTGTGCTGACATTTATAATAATAAAATCGATCTGCCCAAAAATTCTTATGCCATATTAAACATTATGATTTAAGGTTTATTATGAAGTCGAAAAAGGAGAAAATGCTACTTATCAGAAACTTGCAGAAATACATCCAGGGATACGACATTAGTGAACGACAGTGGTTTAGTCTTGGACAAACACTTAGAATAGAAATCTTTTTAACCATTAATAAATATATATTTTCATTTCCCTCTTTTATTTATAATATCATATTTTATTTATTTTTATTTTTTAGCTCTAAACTTTTTGTCAAATTTGTGTAATTGAATATTTTAAACGTTGTATTGCATATTTGGCACAGTTTTTTATTGCATATAATGTGGCATATTTTGTGGGGTTTTGACTGCATAAAAATTCGAGTCCTGATTATAACCGAAGATGGTATCTCTTCATTTTGACGGTTGGAATACTCTGGAAAATATAATTAGTGTCTGGAGAAGTAGTAGGGAGGGGCAGACTGCTGGAACTGGAAACAGAACTTGAGGAAGCCAGCTGTTAGTCGGTCGAGGCCCCTTAGAGTCCACTGCGAGCTCCAGCTACAAGGTCACTAGCTTGCCAAACCGGCATTCTCCCACTCCTATATTTCCTCTCTTTCCTTATATTTTAATTAAAAATATAATCACGTTGAAGTTCACAATAATAAATAAAAAACCTAATTCTCTATCTGCCACAGTAGTATAATAGAAAATAAAAGCCATTCTTTCGGACAATTAGCCAAAGTTATCTATAAAGGAAGGAGATGGTCCGGGGTGGCGGTCATAAATAGGCTAAATAGTAGTAAAACTATTTTATTAGAAGCCAACCTTTCGACCCGACTTTTCAGACCTTCTTCAGGGCTAGAACGGACAAGATACAAAAAGATTTGTGGAAGTTACATAATATTTAGACAAACAATTTATAAACAATGTGAATAAGCTTATTAAAATTATAAACAGTAAGTACATTAAAATATAAACAGAGTAAGCTAAGTAACAAGATCCTAAAGTGAAGTAAATAGAGGGTAACAATTGTTGTAGTGTATTATATAATAAATGCAAATGTGAATATACTTCTACAGATCTACAGAAGAGATTGAAAGAAAAGGGAAAAGGATATAATATGAAATAATAGACATAAAGGAATGTGGAGAAAGAAAAGAAAAAATAAAACCAAAAAAATAAATAAATAAGTAAATAAAATTAGAAGAATACCTATAAGTCTCTAATTTTATTTACTTATTTATTTAATTTTTTGGTTTTCTTTTTTCTTTTCTTTCTTTCTTTTCTTCTCTATCTTTTTGTATCTTGTCCGTTCAAGCCATGAAGAACACCTGCAAAGTCGGGTCGAAACGTTGGATTTTAATAAAATAGTTTTACCACTATTTAGTCTATTTATGACCGCCACCCCGGAATATCTCCTTCCTTTATAATGGAACGGTCAACTATCAAATATTCAATATCACAGTTATCTATGTGTGCACATCGGCGCAAATTTTTCATTTTGATTGGGAGAGAGATGGACATAGAAAAACCAATACTTACCCTTACTATATATTACATATATACGTAAGTGAAAGTAAAAATGCAGTAGTTCATATTATCTGTACAAATTCTACACAACTAGTAGGCCCGTGCGAAAAATTCACACAGCACATTGTTATCAAATACCAAATTAATAAGAAAATAAAATAATGCATCGTATCAAAAGATAAAGGAAACAATTGTTACTTTGTCGATAAATATAATCAACAAAGGAAACAAAATTAATTAATCTTTGTTTATCCTATCTATCCAGCTGGTTTTTGACCTCCCACGTGGTCTCTTACCTACTACTCTGGCATTCATTGTTTTGTAAAGATATTATATCATTTTTATTAAAAGGCTTAGCGAATCCGAAGGTTCGATGCCGACACCACCAATCGCTTATTACACACCTCCCTCCACCGTTCGCAGTCCAAACCCAGTCCCTTCAGATCGGCTTCAATGCAATCTTCCCACCTTCGCTTCGGTCTATCCCTCGGACGCTTACCATTCGGCACAGCCAATATTAACCTTTTAGGAATTCTCTCGTTACTAAGCCCAACAACTTTAACCTTATGAAGTGGTCCTTAAACTTATTCAATAAAGGTATTATATATAATATAATAATTAATATATTATATTCAAGGCGAAAATGTCGAGATCTAAAAATAACTACTGTCACATAAGTAAAATTAAACTACCACCTCCAGATGAAAACCTTTCTCCGTACAAATTTTTGTTTTAAAATCTTTATTTTGTATTAGAAGAGTAGAAGGTTACAGGAGCTCAATGCTGTAACGAAAACAACAGGATGCAAATCTTTGTATTAGTAGAATATGAGTTAATAGGAGCTCAACACATATGTAATTAAATGAACAGCTCTATTATTAGTGCTAATTATAGAGCTAATAGTACAGATCCTGTAATCTTCTATTCTCCTAACACTAAAATAAAATATGAAAGTTACTAAAACCTTTTTTATATTGTAGAGACATAAAAAAAAGCTGTATGTTACGATAAGATCATTTACGACGTTATGGACGGACGTTAATAATTTGATAAAAAGGGATCTGTACCACGGACTAAATTGGACAATGGCGGCACAACTCGAATCTTAACTTTTAACTAATTCTGTTTTTGTTTTTTTTTAAATTTTATAAGTATTGCTATGATGATGGTAGGTTATTTTACCAGATAAGATAGGTGCGACATGAGGTAAAATTCCATCTGATTTGGATGGACAATGGTGGAATCTACGACAGTCCCTGCTGGTACATCGGCCTGTTTGTTCGGCAAAAACATGGCGGAGTGATTTCTTGTAACATCAATGAAGGTGAGAGATGGTTGGTAGAATGGGTGCAGTGATAAGCAACCTTCTCTTATCAATGCCGCCTCCTTTTCCATGACCTGATAGATTAGAATAATTTAGTGGAACTTAGAGTAATATGACTAGCATTAGCATGTAATTAGTTTATTATAATAAATTGCATAGATAAATGAAACTATAATATAGCTTCAGATATCTTCTAAGCCAAAGATGTAAATCAAGACCTCGAGATTTCCATTTTAGTGTAAAATGATCTACTATTCAGAGGTACCCAGAAGGAGATTTCATGGCGCAAGTTACACCATCAAAAAGTTTGAGAGGGGGGCACATTTCAACAAGGTTATTTGAAAAGATTCAAAGCAAAGACAAGGAAATGCAGAGAACAAACGGCAAGATGTGTAATTGTATATAATCTAGGATTTTTTAAATTCTACTATCTCTTGCACCACGGGCGGATCTACGGGGGGGGGAGGGGTGGAGGGGAGGGCTTACGGGCTGAAGCCCTCCCCCCCAAAATGGTAAAATATGACCATGTTTTATCGAAAAAAATATTTAAAAAGAATCCCTTAAAGTATTATTGTTCGTGTAATTACATTTAAAAGGGCTTTAGGAATCACTTAAACACTATTTCATACAGGTAGTTAGTTTCTTTCTTTTTTTCCAAAGTAATTACCGTTATTTTTATGAAAAAATAAACTTTCGGGCTGAAGCCCTCCCCCAAAATTAAATGCTGGATCCGCTAGTGTCTTGCACTGTTTAAGAAAAGAGCAATAAAATGTCTTAGGAGGGGTGGGGGAACGTCCATACGCTTCTTTGGGGGGATGGGCACCCTTGCTAATATTTATATAAAAATTCGCACAGCATATTGTTAAGTGATCAAATGCCAAATTAATAGGAAAATAAAATAATAAAGAAATTAATTGTTACTTTATCAATAAATATAATCGACAAAGGAAACAAAAATTAATTTAAAACTTCATTAATGTTTGGATCCAACATATTTACAAATTTCAATAAACTGTATCTTAGCTAAAAATTGTCCGATTTCCATGATTTTTTTTTTCGTTTTGTAGAGAATTTAGTAATCTTTTATATGATGTACGCATCAAAATGTTTATAATTTGTTCCGTTTCGATCTACAGACCTACCACCGTTCCAGTATTGAAGCCTAGCAAAATGTTTGTATCGACTTTATTTATTTTAGAAAGAAAAACAAAAGTGTAGAATAAAATTCGCTAATCCCCCGTGAAATTCTGAATCGAACGGTACCCCATTCATGGTATTTGAGCATGACAGGAGCTTATACTTGGTACAAAACCGATTTCGAGCTTCACTGTAATAATATATGTGGGAATGATTTAGTGCTATAGTTTGAAATTTTTTTTTTCTATTTCTTTATGACATTTACAACTGTATTACATAAATACATCAAGTAAATTTGGACATAATTGATATAATAACATGAATACACTTGCTGAGTAACTACCCAATGGTAGCACTCTAATGATATGACTACATTAGGAGATCACGGGGCCATCTTCTTTTCAGACGCCTGGGAGGGTTATCAGGAATTGAAGAGGAAGCAAGGTTAGAAACGAGAGGGTTGGAATGATTCTGAAGTTTACTATGGAAGGATAGGTATCTGGATTGGGCCAGATTTGAAACATAAGGAACATTAAGACCTTTATGGATAATTTTATTAGTGACAAAGTAAGGAGCATTGAGGATTTTACGAAAGATTTTGAATTGTAAGGATTGGATGCGAGAGGAATTCGATGGTTTAGTGGAGCCCCATAGCTCAACTCCGTAAGTCCAAATAGGTCTTATTATAGTCAAGTATATGAGTCTTTTGTAATTAATGGAGAGTTTAGAGCGTTTGTCTAGTAAGTGCTGAAGTAATCGGAAACATCAAGCGGTTTCTTGTCGTTTCAGTCTAGTATGAGGATTCCAAGTTAGTCGTTTGTCCAGGTGGAGTCGTAACTGTAAGACAGGAAGTCGTAGTTCGAAAATAAATTTATTTTTGAAACCGGCCTTTTTTTCACGGAATGTAATTAAATTTGCTTTTCTTAATTATTCTTTAAAAACAAAATCATCAAAAGCTCTTTAAACGTTTTATTCAAACAAATAATTTTATGGTAATGGCTAAATGTCGACTGTAGAAGATCTATTGAAGGGAAATCGGTTAGGGTTTTCAACCAATGAAAGTACGAAGTAAAAAAAAAAATTATATTTCTTTATATTTCCTTTGTGCCGAAACTTCGGCTTGAGTTTCAGACCTTCATCAGGGCAAAGCAAAGACAACATAACATATAATTATTAAGAAAATAGTAGACAGTAACAGTGAAGTAGATTGATAAAATAAACTATGTGATGAAGTAAACAATAATAAAATAACGGTTGATTTTATAGTAAAGGCGTAAAACCTGTAGGTCGTCAAGGCCGTTAATTAAAATTATATATTATTATATCTTCTAGTTGTGAATAATAGGAATAAAATTAAATTAAAAAGACGTAAAATGAACGTTAAGGTTAAAGTTGTTTACGGTTAATAAAGTTAAGTTATTTAAAGTTGGCACTTCAAGTAAAAAATAAAAAGGTGGGGAGTTCTGCGTTAGAGGTTCAGAGATATTTAAAGATTCTTTCTTCAGAGAAAAAACACATGATTTCGCTCAAAATTTTTTCCTCATTTCCCAAAGCAGCAGGTGTATTTGCTGGTATTCCTCTTCTGTTTAATTCTCTGATGTAAAAGGCACAACTCTCGAAGATATGGACCATTCTCTCTTCACATTTCTGACAAATGGGTAGGTTTTCTTTTGTAATGCAATGAAGGTGAGTAAGCCTGGTATGACCTATTCTTAGTCGCGTAAGGACAACTTCCTCTCTACGTTTAGTGCGACTGGAAATGCTCCATGCCTTCACTAACTTTTTTATCAACTTTAATTTATTTGGAGGGCTGTTGTCCCAAAGTGTCTGCCAATCTTGGTATTGGTGGCAGTTAGGAAAATAAAAATAACGGTAATAAAATAAGAAAATAAAATAACGGTAACGACTTAATGAAATCAACAAAGCAATAAAAAAAGAAATAACAAATACATGAATTGAAATATTAAGGAGATACAAATAATAAGCGGTGAAAATGTTTATAAGTTGATGTCTTAGTATGTTCAGAGAAAGTGAGATAAACATAAAATAATAATGAAAAACAAAAAAAAAGTTAAATTAATCATATAAAAAATTATATAGAGAAAATAATAAAAGCAAATAGAAAATAATACAAAGATCATAAGATGTAGTCTTCTTATTTTCTATATAACTTCATTCTCATCAATATTTCTTTGCTATCTTGTCTTTGCTTAGCCTTGATAAAGGTCTGAAACTTAGGCCAAAAAGTCGGCATAAAGGACGAAAATAAATATCATTTATTTATTTTTACTTTGTACTTTCATTGACTGAAAGTCCCAATTAATAGGGCGCACTAGCGGAACGAGGATTTAATTTTGGGGGGAAGCTTCAGTCCGAAAGTTTTTTTTTTCATAAAAATAACGATAATTACTTTGGAAAAAAAGAAAGAAACTAACTACCTATATGAAAAGGTGTTTAAGTGATTCCTAAAGTCCTTTAAATGTAATTTAAACGAACAATAATACTTTAAGAGATAATTTTTTATAAAATAAGGCTTTGTTTATTTTTTCACCATATTTATTTTAATTTTCATAGCTACGTTTCGGCCGGTAAGCCATCTTCAAGCCATTTTATCCAACCATGCTTTTTGCATGTAGTCCAAATTCCAATTGAAAAAAGCATGGTTTGATAAAATGGCTTCAAGATGGCTTACCGGCCGAAACGTAGTTATGAAAATTAAAATAAATATGATGAAAAAATAAATAGAGCCCTATTTTATAATATTAGAAAATTTTCACCTAAAACAAGCACATATAAATAATTTTTTAATATTTTTTTCCATAAAACATGGTTATATTTTAACATCTTGGGGAGGCTTCAGCCTCAAAGCCCCCGGTAGATCCCCCCTCTCGCCCCCTCCGGTAGATCCGCCCGTGATTTAACACGTTAGCTGCGGTTACGGTCCCCGGGGTCCGATATTCGTCTCGTCTACCAAGCGGTCGGGATTGTTTCAAATTTTGTCTAATCTAATAAAGTCTCTAAAATGGTAATTTTAAAAAATATTTGAACGGGAGGTGGAGATGTAAATAATCATTAAATCTGATAAAAAGTTTTCGGAAGCAGAGGACCGATACCGTACCAGACTGATAAAACATTATTTCCCTACGGTATCACCTTCCCCTCCTCACCACCGGCGTCCGATACATTTTCCTACCATGGCAGGGCAGTGCACATGGTCTTGTCACCTTCGGGCTTCTGTCACGCAGTAGCTCTTGAGAGTTCATTTTAGACTGTTCATCTTGCTTAATTAACATTTATAAATAAATAACATACATGTAAATTATAATTATATGTAATAAATAAACTTTTTCTCATTTCATTTTCAATATTTAAGATTTATATCCCTAAAAATAACACTTGTTTACTGAAATAAAGAGACATAATAAAAACTCGTCATATAAACGGCATCGAACGTCAGAGTCCACTCTTACGATTGCTGGTTTATTAATGAGAACACAATCAACAGAAAGACACTCTGAATAGGGAATTCAGTTCACCTTTGTTGTCAAGAAATAGCGGTATATCTCGAAACAGATGCACGTCTCCAGCGTCTTATGCCATTAAAAACTAGTGTCGGTCGCCGGAGACCCATATCGTCGGGAAAGACATTTAAGAGATATCACGTTCAGCATCTAACGTTTTAAAGAATATTAGGTCAGTAATTTCAAGATCGAAACGGAAAATCCATTGCGAAAAATGTGAGATAAGTTTTTATTTTTTTAACTTGTACATATGGGTTTAGACATGTAAAAAACAATATAGCTAACGCGGGCCACGAAAAGGAAACTTTTTACAGCCAAAAAAGTCAGATTTTTTCGATATTTTTTTATTTTTCACCAATAAGTCCTAAACGATGCATCAAAGCGAAAAATATATTCCTTAATAAATTAAAGGGCCTTAAATTTTGCGTCGAACGAGTACATAAACTTAATAATTTGGTAACATGGTAAGGTATGAACCATGGTCAACCAACGCTAATTTTGACCAAATTTGTCAAAAACAGACAAATTATTATAAATGGGCTTGTAACTTGGAAATGAGTTCCTTAAGAGGAAAACCCCAAAGGAACAAAGTTGTAGAGAATCAAATTTTGCGTCCACTGAGTATCAACTGATGCATCGTTTAGGAGTTATAGGTGAAAAAACAAAAAAATGTCGAAAATATCTTACTTTTTTCCTGCAAAAAGTTTTCCATTGGTGGCCCGCGTTAGCAATATTGTTTTTTATACGTCGAAACCCATATATACAAGTTATAAAAATAAAAACCTTTCTCACATTTTTCACAATGGATTTTCCGTTACGATTCTCAAGTTCTGGCCTAATATTCTTCAAATCAGCCGGTTTTTTTTTTTGGTTTTTTTTAAGGATCGGCTCTAGAATGGTAGACAAGGTTCGTTTTATTCAGAATAATACACACTTTCGTAATTTAATTTTACAAAAAAATATGTCATCTTCCTGTATATTCTGTATATAAAAGTCCCTGTATATAAAATACCTCTCGTAATTGACAATCAAACCTTCGTCCGGGACCGGGTCGATTTTCGGGTCCTGGCTCCATGACTATTTTCAAGATATTTCAAGGACTTCTCCCTTTCAAATGTATTGAAATCCCGAAAAATCAGAAATTAAGGGTTTACAATGCTATGATAAAGACAGCTCTAATATATGACTGTGAAACCTGGACATTAACAAGCGCCCTAGAAAATGTACTGAATGATTTGGGAGATAAATCCTCTGCACAATAACCAGAGTAATCTGGGATCAGAATTATAGGAGATAAAAAATTACAGAAACTTGTCAATCAGTATCTCATGGTAAGAAGGCAAGGAGTTTAAGATGGGCGAGGCATGTACCTGGGAGTAATCCATCTGGAAGCCTCAACAGGACAATGAATGCCTCAATAGCAGGCCGAAAAAACAGATGGATAGAATGAATACACAAACACGTAATAGAGATTCTTGCAGTTAACTGGAAAGAAATCGGCAGAGATGGAGTAGGCTTGTGGTTGGCTTAGACCCACTTCAACTCGGTATACCAACAGGAAACATGAAAGCGGCTGGGAATCCGAAAGATAAATCTTATGAAATAATCCATCAGTCTCTTCTGGTATTTATACAATGTATCTAAGTAAGAACACAAAAGTTAGATTATTTTTATATTTTAACTGTGTCTGTCTTCTTCCAAACTAATGATATGTCTAAATAACATATTTTTAAAATTTCTTTGGATATGAAATATTTCTTAGTAAATTGTCATAACCAAATTATAGAAAAAGGAAGAAGAAAGGAACTAAATATAAAAATTTTCTCTGAACTCCTTCAATGAATACCTTTCTTCTAGTTCAGTATATTTAAAATTTAACCTGCATGATAAAGTACATCACTAAACAAAAGTATGGTAGCTATAAACTTGTGCCACTACAACCCATAACAGTACTTTGTAAGGAAGTATTGTTTCATGACCAACTGCTGAGCAGGAGGGTGATTGGGCTGAGATCAAGCTCTACTGCCAGGTTGTTTCCCCTTAACTAATTATTTAATTAAAAGTGCACACTTTATAGAGGCTGGGTGTGCCTCAGGAGAGTCTACCGACCACAGGGTTGATCAATGGCTATCAGAATAAATAATTGCCTACCATCGGCCATATTTGAACTCAGGATCTTGAACTTTAGAAGTCAATGCCATAACCACTGAGCTACCCTACTCCTAATGGTAATTAAAAACTGTTCATAAATAAGAGTGAACTTGACAAGTTGTAGCAATGGAGTTCTGTTAGTAAGACAACCGTTGTCATGCAAGATCAATGACTTTAAATTTAGAACAATGACTAATGAATAACATACAAACTGTTGCGTGCAAAGAAAGTGATTAGAAAAGTATTAGAGAAAGATTCCAGTCCTCCAACTAATTTTCACAAAGCAATTTACTATCAGAAATAGATTGTAGAATTACATCAGAAGATTAAAAATATATAATAAAAATGGAAAAAACTATTAAACACGAGTTTTTAGATATGATTTAATGTCTAATAAGGAAAGAAGACCCAAAGCGAAACATCCATCTTTGAGACCAAGAGTTTATTTATTATTATTTATGAAATTTACAACTGTACAAATTAATATCCATTCAGCAAATGTTATACAAAGAAATATATAACATGACAAGGCTTGTAGAGAGTCTACCCATTGGTAGCACTCTAATAAAGTTTCTAAATTAGGAGATCGCTAAGCCATTTTCTTTTCAGAAGCCTAGGAGGGTTATCAGGGATCGAGGAGGAAGCAAGGTTAGAAACGAGAGGATTATGATAGTTCTGAAGTTTATTATGGAAGGATAGATATCTGGATTGGGCCAAATCGGAAACATATGGAACATTCAGGTCAATATAGATTATTTTATTTGCTACAAAGTAAGGAGCATTGGGGATGAGACCTAGAGTTTGAAGAGATTTTTGCAACCATATTACCAAATATTTTTATGAAAATCATTAAAGCATAAACATGATTGGAAAATTGTGGATCAATTGTTGTAATGATTTTCTTATTAATTGTTGGAAATATTATTTTTTGTTTCTTCTTCAGTTAGGTCAAAGCCAAAAGAAGTGGAATGATATACCTTACATTTATTTGAAATGGGTTTTTATGTTTACCTAATTCAGAACATCAAACACTTGGAAACAGATGTGGAATACCTTTTATATTCATAATTAATGATAATTCATTCCAAAAATTTCGCACAGCCCTTTAGCCACTCAGTGAATAAATAATAAGAAACTTTTCATTGCAGACTACAATTTTTTAAAACAAATCATAGAAAATATATTGAGACTTATAGCAAGTAGATTTTGTACTATAATGATAAATATCACAACATTTAGGATATCATCAGCATTGTAGCTTTTCATCGTAATTCAGATTCTTACTTTATTCATACACTTTACTTCGACTTCAAATCAATCAAGTTGAAACATCTATGGGCCCCTTTAAAAGTATATGTTATTTCTTTATTCTTATCAAATTGACAATGATGACAATTCACTCTTGGAAATTACATTATATGATCATCAATTGTTTCTGATTATCATACCCAAGCAAGACCATGAACAACTGGACCATGAACGCAAAACCATCAAAGAATGACTTAATATTGAACATTGGATGTTTTTTTCCTTGTATGAGGTGTTTCTCATACACATCCTTATTTATCTCTAATAAAACGAGATAACTAATGTCCAAATAATTTTTATTTTTATTTTTATTACATACATTATTTTATAGAGATAACCAATGTCCAAATAGTTGACATTAGTCTAGCTTAGAGTTCACAAAATGATGCTTAATTAACTGTAAATTGTAATTGCAATTGTACAGTTGATTGAATTATAAAGTGTGCAGAAGCAAGTAGATTTTACATGTTTGCGGAAGTTTGAATATGAAGTAAGTGGTTAAATAGGAATTGTTTGAAGTAATTTGTGGACGAGGATTTATGTATGGAGGTAGGTAAAGAGTTCTAAAAGGAGGTAGCACGAATGACGAAGGGTTTGCTGAAGGAACTATTGTTATGGGAGGTGATATATAAATCTATAGGTTGAGATCTGGTATTAAGAGAGTGGATAGAGAAGTGTAGAGACATGGAAAAGGAAAATACCAAGAAGGAATTCAGTCGAACAGAGATCACAAGGGTGTCCGATTTCCACAAATATATTAGCTGATAAGTCAAAATCTTTCTTTAATAATTTTTTTAAGAAGAATGACAAAGTAGATTTTAATGTCATTACAGGTATGTTTGGTAATTTCAAAAGAATATATGGGATACATTTTCTATATTAATTTTTATTTCACTTGAAAATTTCTTTACACCCTTTTTTATTTTTCATTATATATTACTCATAAAAACGCCATAAAGGTATTTAATATTTGCTTATAGTAAGCAAATGGCATGTTGAAGTAATTTGGGGACGAGGACTAATGTATGGAGGCAGGTAAAGAGTTCTAAACAGAGGTAGCACGAATGACGAAGGGTTTGCTGAAGGAAGTAGTGTGATGAGAGGTGATATATAAATCTATAGGTTGAGATCTGGTATGAAGACAGTGTATAGAGGAGTGTAGAGTAAGGAGTTACAGGATGTAGGGAGGATTTTTGGTTTTAAGGACTTGGAAAAAGAAAATACCAAGAAGGAATTTCCGTCGGGAAGTAGAATAAAGCCACTTATCAGCAGAAAATATAAGAATCCCAAAGATGCATCAATCTTATAATATGCCAGGCTTAATTTATTATTTTAGTCTATAAAGAAATTATGTGAGGGCAAGATATTAAATTCTGGTGTTCCAGAAATCAAATTTTATTTGAGACTGTTTTCAAAATCTAACATATAAGATAATTAAATATTACGGTTTCAAATAATTGTTATGCTCCGACTTACCACCCAAATATTATCTTCCAAAATACCTTCACGGTAATACAGTATCTTTTCAGGATAAGCGCCACTCTCTTGCCAATAATGGATTATAAGTTCTCCGATTATCTTATCTAGATTTTCAATATGATCTGAATCTGATTTCATAAAACTCCAAATCACATTATGTTTAGTAGCATGTCTATTATAATTTCCAACAATCTGAATTAATTGCCAATTAATTAATCAAACCATTAATCACCAAGTACATTAATAATAGATGTATTCATCAAATTTTAAATTAATTTATTGTATTAGAAAATTATAATATTTTATACTTTAATAATCATAATGTTTCTTAGTTCAAAACAAAGTTTATGAGGTATTTTTAGTTTGTACATGAAAAAACCATAATAAAATCTTTATTTCTTCACTGTTGAAGAAACAGGGGGTGCCCAGAAAGGGGTTGCATGGCACAAGTTGTGCCAACAAAATTTTTATGAGGGTTAACGTTTTTGAGAAGGATACATTTTGGTATAGTTTCAATTTTGAGCAACTTTCAAACCAGAGAACAAGGCGAAAACAGACCACAGCAATTCTAATTGTGTATGATCAACAATATTTTGAATTCTACTTTCCCTTTCAAAAAGAGAGGAGGAATCTTTGATGGTTTAGGGGTGCAGAGAGGTCATGCCCCATGGATCTTAGGGAGGAAGGGATGGGCACCCCTGTGAAGTTTGACTCTCACATTAAGATACAATTTTGAATAATAGTCCATTATAGAGAGGATGAAATGCTGAACGATTCCCTAGCTTACAGTATGCAGGTCCAATTTTTAGTTTTCTGAGATATTTTAATCCAAATAAAAAAACAATTAGTTAACTCGGCTCGGAATCTGACTCACTCTCCACAAAAAAGTGTAAAGCGCGCCTAAAGAAGTTTTCATTTCAAAAAACCTAAAGTTGATTAACAAGAGACTGAATGGATATGGCTCTGTTTTTAAGTACATATTACTAGAATTGCTTCGTGTAGTAATGTTTAAATTGTATTGTGATGTCTCTATACAGAAAAAATTAAAACTAGGTGGTCATCCAGAATTAGAGGAATCTCTTTATATGAGGTTTTCGCAACAGAGATTACAAGGGTGTCCGATTTCCACAAATATATTAGCTGAGAAGTCAAAGTTTTTGTTTAATAATTTTTTTAAGAATGACAAAGTAGATTTGAATGTCATTAAAGGTAAGTTTGATAATTTCAAAAGAATATATAAGATACGTTTTATATATTAATTTTTATTTCACTTGAAAATTTCTTTACATCCTTTTTTATTTTTCATTATAGATTATTCATAGAAACGCCATAAAGGTATTTAATATTTACTTGGAGTAGGCAAATGGCATGTTGACTACCGATGCCTAGTACTTTTGAAGAATTAGTGAAATTAGACATTTTCTTTAGCAACATAATCAGAGGCTCATTTCGATAACCCGAACAGGCTATGTAATATCAATGGATTATCAAGATCGTCCTGTACTTTTAATTAGCTATATAAGAGTTTCATTCATGTTTTTATCATTTTATTTTATCAGGATTATTGAAATTATTTTGGTGGTTTATAGCGAACCAGAGTCAAACAAACAAAAGTTAATTTAACATAAAACGGTTGAAAAAAAAATTAAGGTATGTATAAAAAGAAAAAAGGTTAACATTTCTAAATAAAGAGCCATAAAGAAATGTATTCAGTAATAAAACTTTTTAAAGGTTTTTAAACCAAATGTCATGAAACAAATTAATATTTTTGTTGGTTTACTAACAGAAAATTATACACTACCTAATTATTAATTAAAAATATTTAATAATACTTACAGAAGCGATAAAAGGAAAACTAGAACTTCTCTTGGGATCATTAACATTTACATATGCACCAATTACTAAAACAGGTCTGATGAAATATTTAGGCCTAAAAACATTAAAAAAATAATTTTCTTTTCAAATGTAAGTTTTAAGTGTTTTAAAATATAGTTTTTATTGACCTATTATTCTAAATTTAAAAAGTTATTTTAATAATATATGATATATTGCAATGTTAAAATAAATTATATTACAACAATGTTTTCATTAAATTGTTTTTGATTGCCATGTGAAGGTGCATTTAGACATTTCACAAACAATTGGAAAAACAAATATATAAATGTTATTTTTCCTACACTAGTGTTTTTTTTCTCTTATTTTTGATGTTTTTCATTAGGTATCAATAACAACAGAAATAAAATAAATAGTGTGGTTTAGTAATAATGTTGCAGTTAGTTATGTTAATTAATTGTGTTTCCATGGTTTGTGAAATGTCTAAACGCACCTTAACACTTTCAAATTAGTATTTTCCAGTATTTTGTTTTCAATGTAATAATTTTATTATCTATATTTAAAGGAAGGTAGGCCGTAATATGCTAATGTCCTGGTCGTGAGTAATGGTGGATCATTATAAAAATTATATTAAATTGATGGCTTGTATATGAGTACTTATACATCTAATTTTAACTTATTGTGTCTAGTCATCATATAACTAACAACTACACACACATGCATATATATATATATATATATATATATATATACTATGGATTAATAATATTTCATATAGTTTAATAACGATATTTACAAATATGATGCAACTGTTAGATTATTCTGACGACATTGATATTGTTGCACGGTCCTTTGCAGCTCTCGAAGGTGCCTTCCTTGAATTGCAACAAGTTGTAGCTAAGATAGGGCTCCACATTAATGACAATAAGACAAAATATATGTATACAGAAGAAGAACAGAATCTTCAAAACTAAAGAATATCTCTAGGCTCTTACACCTTTAAGAATGTCTGAGAGTTCTCTTATCTGGGATCTCAAATTATAGCAAAAAATGAGATGCTGTTTTGGCCTACTTAAGCATATGAGAAGCTCACTACTTACTAGACGAACGAAGCTGCAGCTCTATAAAACGCTCATCCGGCCAGTTCTTACCTACGGTAGCCAAACATGGACCTTAGCCAAAAATGACAAAAAAGACCTTCTGGTCTTTGAAATGAAAATCCTTAGAAGAATATTTGAACCTGTAAAGGAGGAACTGGATTGGAGAATTCGGAAGAATAGAGAGGTCTATGAACTGTTCAATGAACCTAATGTGGCCAGAATAATAAAGTTAGGAAGGCTGTTGGGCAGGACACATAGCTCGGAAGGAGAGGTCTAAAATCCCGATAAGAGTGTTTGAGGAGCCATTACACCATACGAGGAGAGCTGGCAAACCGAAATTTAGATGGGGAAATGGTGTGGCAGGTGACACTAGAGACCTGTTGGGAGCCAGAAATTGGAAATGGCCGTACAGAATAGAGAAATTTGGAGGAAGCTCATTGAGGAGGCCAGGATCCACTGAGGGTTGTAGAGCCATTAAGATAGATAGAGATAGTTCAATAAGCAATGAAATAGATTTTGAGTTCAGTTTGATTTATATCCATTAGACATTAAATATTCCCAATTAAGCAAATGAACATAATCTATGCCATAGTTGGTTTTAAAATGTTTTATATCCAAATTTTCAAAATTTCTTGCTCTTGAAATAAGATCTCTAAAATTAAGTAAAATAACTTGGTTTCATCTGATTTAGATAGACATGCTCGTATTTTCTCATTTCGTTATTATTATTTTCTTGAGATATGTTATCAATGGTCTAATTAATATATAAGGTTTGAAACTTTTAATGTAATAAATTAAAGAATGCCTTTTGATTTCTGCATTGTGCTGTGAAGAAGCCATAGTAATTAAAGCATGGCTAATTTGTTTTTTTTTTTCAAACTGCAAGAGTATAAAACTTGATTTATTATAATAAGAACAATTAAGATGCGTTAAAGAGCTAATTCATTAATAAATTAAATACATGTATATATACAGTTGACTGCCATCAATAATTAATATTTAATTCAATATGTTAACATTCTTACCAAAGTGAAGATTTGATGTTATAACAATTTCCATTTAATTTTGCATTCAGTTTTAAAAGAAGGCTATTCATAATAGATAAATCAAGTTTTTTTACTGTTGATGATTTCAAGCATTGTGTGAGTATTCCAACTTGAAGTTCTGCTATTTGCTTGATTTTTCCTGCAAAATTCGGAATAAATTATATATTATGTTGAATTATACTTCAGGTATTTTTTAGAATTGTCCTGCTTATTGCATTACTGCAAACATGTTAGTAAATCTTACCTTTTTTTATTTCTTCAATAATTTATAATAAAGCTTAGATTTTTAAGTTGGGAAATATATTCGAATATAAATGCAGTACTAGATGAGCCAGAAAAGGTTTTAGAATTTTGAAATCAGTGTTGCCAACTTACAGTTTTTAACAATTTATTATTAATTAACGATAAATTCATGAAATTCAAAATAAATAATAATCATTGTCTTCTTCTAAGATTTTGGATATTTTGCTTAATTTAAATTAATTTATTTCAATTTGGTTATAAAGGTTTAAACTGAGGTCGGAGCCAATGTTTTATAATTCTTCTTCCTATAAGATCTGAACACAGAAAGTCTACGACTGAATTTGTTCTCTTTCGAACTAGGGTCTATGTTGAAATAAAAAAGTCTAGTGAATCAGGGCACTACTATATATCCCCTTAAATTTCTTACAACTCTTACGAAAGCATCTCCATTTCGTCTTCCCGTCGAACTTCATTTCATAGCCTCCATCACAATATTTCACCTTCGGAATTATCCCGACGTCTTGAAAATATTTAATAGCCTCTTCTTCTGAAGACGGCAATTCCTACAATGTAGCAACATCCATTTCAATAACGCACAATCAACAAAGTTCAATCAATAAACGACACGCAACAGCTTAAATTAGATAAAAAGGCAGGTTATGTGATGTGAGATAAGATAAGAAGGGAGGTTTACCAGAGACCACGTCGTTCACAAGTACCCAACTATGTATCCAACAAGAGGAAAAATCCAGAGAAAATACAAAGATCGTCTGAAGGCTTCAACAATTCCGTTGAGAAAGGCTTCTATTAATTCCGTATGTTGATATTTGTTGCAAATATTCGACTTCTTACAAACCTAATGACCTGCAGACCCGTCTCGAAACATCGGTTGATTTCGAACTAACCGCACCGCCGACTGTGATCAAAATAAGATTACGACATTCCTGCTTGTATAGACATTCCCTAAGGACATCCTAGAATTTTGACGACCACATTCGTACCGCGCATTCAGAATGGACTATCAGAATCATGATGATCTTAATTTCAACTGAAAATGTAGGGGGAAAATAGCTTTTAGGGTTGGAGTTACCCCGCCAGGTTCCCGTTTTCTCAACCATTTCCATATTTCTCAAAATCAGTTATCTCAGCAAACTGTGTCTCGCATATACCCCGCCTAAGTATATGCCGTCATAAGTAGTTGATTAGTTCGTTAAATGAAATATTCAGAAACCATACTTATTAAGTGCTTAAATATAAAAAAAAAAATGTTTTCAGGAATGTACATGTTCTTCCCGGAGCTGAGGGGCCTCATTGGGGCCAGATAGGGTCTGCTCAAAAAATATACAATTTTTAGTTAAATCTGACCATTATTAGTAATGATAAAGCTATTGTAATTTGCACACTTTCTGGTTTATTCTTAATAATGAAGCATTGTAATCAATAGAAATTGAATTGAATTTGGTGTTTGGTAAAAATAAATTTCATAAAAATAGCTATAGTAGAAAGCAAGAGAATAAGAAATATAAAATGATTCTCTTTGACAAACCGTAAAAAACTCCACTGTTCGGCATAACTACCAACACCACTTCACAATTTTCTGATTTCCTTTCTCTCAAAAATATTTCAAAATATTTTTCAAAATCTTCCTCAGCTTGTACCAATTTGGGATAAAATTGTGGTTCATGTATTTTCATTCCAAGTCGTAGACCTCTAAAACGCAATGCTGTTGCCAAAAACCTGTAAACATTTTACTATGGACGATGCTGTGAATTTATTCGTAATTTAATATTAGGAAGAATGGTAAATCCTAAATATGGTTCAAATGATCAGAATAGTCGAGATAGGTAAATATAGAGAGAGCACAGAAGGAGTCGACAGAGCGTGTTCTATGCGAAAGATTAAATGACTCAATGGATGAGGAAGAAAGGATGACCTCAATTGTCGGAAGGATGAGGTACCAAATAACTATCGGTTGGCGAGCTAAGGGGGTGAACCTTAAGTTCAGTCATGATTTTCCAAAGACAGCTCCTGTCCACAGAATTATAGGCTGTTTTGAAATGACAAATAAGGCGTGGACGTCCTGAGCTACTTCCTATCGTTTTTCAAGTACTTATTTTAGAATGAAGATCTGGTATAGCGTGCTCCTCCCTCTTCTGAATCTAGCTTGATGGTCGTCCATTGTATTCTCGTAATACGGATATATCCGGTTTAGTAGGATATTGGTCATTATCTTGTACTTATGGTAATACAAAATAAAAATAGCATCAGTTAGATAAAATGCATCAGTGCGCACATATAGCGGTTTCTGGTAGCTAGGGCGGTCTTTACAAGAATATATAAATCTCCATTTATTTTTTATTTATTTGAACTACAGAACACAGCAACCCTCCTTGAGTTGCTGGACCACAAACCCTGAACACCTTACTCCACCTCTATGAACATACGATGTCCAGAAATCAATCTTTCTAGCTACAATTTCCATCCCCAAGAAGATATTTCTTTACAAATCTTTTCATACACATCTTTAACCTAATCCAGTCTATCATAAAGAAGATAAGCATATAACATACATTTTATAAATTAGCGTAGGTTTTGTTTATTCTACTTACAGTAAATCTGGGTCTTCTGTCGGATCTACATTGCAGATGGCCCATTTATCAATTTCAACAGCATTTTCAAAATGTTCCAAATCCCACGAACTTTCAGATGGTGAAACCTGTCGTTCAGATTTTGTAGCAACGAATATATTTTATTCATAGAAAATGAAACATCAACACCAATTTGAGATTCTTATTTTAATAATATTTTCATTAATTTATTACATTTGTATAATTTTTTGAACATCCTTCATCAATTTTTTTTATGAAAATACGAATTGGTTACTTTCATGAAAAAAAAAATCGTTTAATCTGAGCTGCAATAGAATACATGTTATAAAGAACGTATACAAAATTTATAATAGTCTTCCCAAATAAAAAAAAAAATGTTCATATTTAGCTAAAATATGGTGGTGGGGACTGGGAGGATGGCCTGAGACTACGGTATCGTGGCGTATACGGCTGCCAAACACGATCCAAGTGTCTCTAAGCTCTACTTTATAAACATTCATTTAGGAATCCTATGATTTGAAGGCACGGAGATTAAGATGAGCGGGGCATGTTGCTCGTAGCAATCCATCTGGAAGCCTCTACGTAACAACGAATGCCTCAATAGAAGGCAAAAGACCAAAAAGCAGATGGATAGATAGAATCAACAAAGATGCAACAAAGCTGAGTGCAGATAAATGGAAAGGAATAGCCCAAGATAGGCAGAGATGGAGAAGGCTTGTTAAGGCGCCAAAAGATCTACATGGTCTGTAATGCAAACAGAAACAAATACATTTTAAACTAAATAATTTTATTCCGAGACGACAGGATCAGAGAAAAAACGGAAAGATAGTTCTTCGGTTGGAGTTTTGAAGCTGGAAATACAAGTATAGGCAAGAGAACTACATTAATATTGCGTGGCTGCTCAACTGTGTTTATTTGCTAAATCGCACAGCATACTCATCAGTCAACACATATTATTTATAAGAAAAACAAAACAGAGTTAGGTCTCTGCCATTTGCCGTTCTCAGGGTGCGGGGAATGCCTGGTTGAGGTCTGTCACAGACAGCGTCTATTTACAGTGCGGTACAGGAATATGCGGCTGATGTTCTCCTTGTCATGACATTTTCCAATTCTGTGTGAGGCGATCACAGCTATTCAGTTTTCTTTATCACTCCATTTCATATTAACTGAGCAAAAGAAATAGGATCTAATTGGGATCATTATGCTGACATGTAAAGAAAATGACCTGATAGAGGTAAGGATTATCTAAATAATACCCAAGAATGTAAACAAAGTTCAACTTTTGTAACAGTATTTATGGCAGAACTAGGTATATTTCTTTTAAGTAGGATATGCACTTCTTCTAAATGTCTTCTCTTTCTGTCCGCTCCTTAAAGCCTCGATCTTGATCGATTGTTTCAAACCTGATCGTGGGATCCACTATAAGCGCCTCATTTTTTGTTACATTAAAAGCTAAATTTTCAACGAACCTTGCAGAGCCTTCTGTATCTAGATAAAGTACTCTAAAAAACATTTCAAGCTGTTTATTTTTAATTGTTTGCAATATAACCAACTGTATGGGCTAGGCGCTAACAACTGAGATCGGCTAGGAGCTGAGATCGTAACTTAAATGACGTTTTAATCTTAAAGCATTTCAACCATGAAAACAAGAATAAATAAAAATAGAAATAAGAAAAAAATGATAATTTTTTGCATTCACCTGTTTTATTCCTGATAGCATGGCGGATTTACAGACTATTATTGGTGGTTTCAGCACTCTCCCATTAGTTTGAACCAAATTTTTATTAATGTGAATACCGAACTCGGAAAAAAAATTATTCCTTTCCAGTCCAAGGGCTGAAATCTATGAACAATAATTCATAAAGTTAAGTTAATAGAGGCCTTAACAATAACAATACAGTAGTAATCAATTATGAGGTGATACAATACTACTGTTTATTGTTTTATTCATGGTGTATTATATTTTTTCTACATCAAGGCAAGGGCGTACGCAGCTTTCATATTAGTAGGGGGGCAAGAGGGAAAGTTTATTATTATTACAATTTATAAATATTTTTATATGAAATAGAATATATACATAGAAAAACAATTTTTAAAAATTGATTTTCTCGAATTGTCTGCAAACCTTTTGTATTATATAATATTATGTTTTATTTTCTTTCGAATTAATTAGGGGAGAAGAGGCAACATAGTAACTATATAAATACAGTAATCTTAATGATATGCTACAAGTGTTTTTGAAAAGAAAAAAAAATCTTTTACATTTCAGCTATAGTTCCCCCAATTGCTTACGGAAATTTACTTGTACTTAATTGGGCACTCATTTTTATATCCACCACATTTTCTTTTGGAATATTAATTTTTTTTTTAGGTTTTATTTTTAGGATTTGGTTAAATTAATTTTCCTAGAAATCGACAATGGGAAATTCACAGTTAACATTATCAAACGATTCTCCATCATTCGCTCCTGGAATTAGGTTTTTATACCTGGTGTCCGTTTTATTTGTAGAAAAACACCGAATCAGTGTAAGAGACCGATTATGAGAGAATCCAGTTATTAGAATTGTTCGTTAGTGGAAATTTAATGTATGCCTACAATTTTATATAAATAAAAATTATAGAAATTTCAATACCATTCTAATGATTTCACTTTTTATCTGCCTTGGTTTAGGTTTGAGCTCTAACAGGAGTTCTTTCAGTGCTTCCTTTTGCGAATCTGTCATCCTCCTGTTAAAAATTTGTCCATCAGCAATAGTGCACAGCTCAGGAGGGAGTCCTAACATCATACCTGGCGGTCCAACAATTAGACTCGGCATATTTGGAAATTCAAGATCGAAGACCTTTCCTAACGAATAGAATTGGCCCTGGTTGTTAAAACTACTTGGAAGCCCCGTTTTCAATCTGATAAAACAGAACAAATAAATATATTACGTAAATAATTCAAATCTTAATAAACGTATTAATGTACATGTGAGTTAAGGCAAATAATTAAAGATATGATAGCAGACCTTAAATACTACCAAACAGTTTATATAAACTATTTTAAGCAGAAAATGTAAGTTTTGTTTATTTTCTAAAAATGTATTTAATTTAGGAAATTAACAACCAATTCATAGTGAACTAGATGAAATTTACTTCTCGTAAAAGTAGAGTTTATTTATGTTAAAGCCATTTAAAGAAGGCTTTTAAGTGGTTAAACTACTTTATGATCTATTGATAAATTATTAGCGATTATTTTTCACGATCCCGCAACAGGAATAGAGATACCCATTTTTAGAAAAACTTCTTTGTTTTATAAGCTTTGGGTTTATGTTAGTTCATTTTAGTTTTGTTATAGAATAAGCTGAGATTTATCTCCAGTTGTGTAAATACATTGTTTATTTTAATATTCTGTCATCTCAGAATATCTCTGTTTTCACTACAAAGAAAAACGATAAATCATTATAAAGTTTTAATTTAATTTTTTAACCGAATCACCTAAGATGATAATGAACTGTTGTTTTATTTACAAAGACCTTTACTTTTATCCTTAATGAATTAAGCAACAAATTGATTGTCTCACACGATGGTCACCATTGCTGTAAAATACAGAAATGAATCAAAAAGAGATGAAGTAGGAATTGATTAGTAAGATAATTTTAATTCAAAACTAATTGTTAGGTTAGAACAAGGTTTTCCAAACTTCAGCCTGTAAACACCTCCAATACTGCCCGTCAAACTTTATTCTGATAAAATTATCAAATTTATAATGCTAGTTAATCAAACAAAAGAATCAGCATTGCTCTTAATCCGATTTATCTCTATAATCGCGAAACAAAGGCGCTCCACGCTCTAGTAACTCCGGTTATGGAGACGGAGTTTGTGAACATGGTCACTCTACAAGTGCTCCATAGTATTCAGATGATCGTTAAAGGAACAATGTATCGTCCAAGTTAATGGTAATTTCGAGAAAAAAAAAATAACATTTTAGCACCGTTTATTCAAAGATTCAGTACTAGTTCAACATTAAATCCCAACACTAAAAGTTATATCGGCTCATCATAAGCTCAATTTAACAATACATTTAGCTTCTGGATGATTTGAATTTCTAGGATTCCACGATATTTTATATTTTTTTGTATAATTTGATAAGCAGAACATATCTTTCATGCATCCATTCCATTATACAACGTTAGTTTATCCATAAGTTATTAACAATATGTTTCCAACGTTGGCTGAATGATGTTCACGAACGCTCCCCTTTGAGTTCGACAGAAGTCGACAAATATCCGAGCACTGTAGAATATTCTCGAACTGTTACACGTTTGAGCGCTGTAACGTATCTAGTTGTTACACCCATAAGCGCTGAAATGTATCCACTTGTTATACGTCTGGAGCGCTGTTGGTTCGCGAAGATAGTGGATACCCCGCTTTAGAATTTAGTGGAGGATTTTTACCTAAAAAGTATGAAGACATCTTTTTTCAATCGATTATTAATACTAAATTATATCATCTTACTTGTATTATTTTATTCTTAACCTAGTACCTTATCGATTCTGCACTGGCAGCAACGTCACTTACAATATGCTCTCTGTTCGTCATAGCATATCCGGGATCCTGGTAGATAACTCTGACCCCTTTTAGGTAACTTTTGACCACTTGATGCTCCCAAGGTTCAAGTGTCCCATCCCTGAGGCTGTTCCTCGTCCTGTCCAAAATGAGAGATATAAAATCAATCACGGATAAGGTGTCGAAGAAGCAGCCATATGTCATGTCAATGGCCATAAAAAAGTTATAATGAAACAAGGGCGACTGTTTGACAATGGTCTGCCTGAATCCAAAATGTAAATTTATTCCTCCATTTATATGTCCAGCGGGTTCTGAGTATCTTGTAAAAAGTATATCTCCAGATTGTGTCAGTTTCCTTTCTTGGCATCTGAAAAAATATTTTTAGTTTGGTCTATGATAATATTTTATGTTTAATGAAAATCTTATAAACTAGTATTCCCTGCAAGAATTCTTTCATTAAATAGCTATTGTGTATTCCGACATAAACGAAATATGTATATTCGTTTATACAATACAATATTATCGAGGAAATCATGTCGAATTATAAATCAGATATCATGTTTGTCGAATAGACTGTCTTGATAATATTATGTATATTTTTTTATAAATAAATAAACATATTTCGCTGCGGTCGCTCATAAGCCGAATGCATTAGGGAGAATAGTCCGTGGTACAGACCCCTTTTTATCGAATTATTAACACCCGCCTGAAGCTTCGTAAGTAATTTCATATCGTTGTAACCTACAACTATTTTATTTACGAAAACTCTTGGAATTAGAGCGTTTTCAATCGGGAGGGGGGCAACTTTATATCTTTAATTAGGTACTAAATACTCGTAAATATCCATTTCCTTTCTACTTGGATCGTAAGATAATTCGATCACAAAATCGATAAAAAAAAGTGGCCTTCAAAAATATTGAACAGTTTGACGTTTACCTACTCCCCCAAATTTTCAAAATTACGAGGTTACATAGGACAAACGGACCAATATTTTTGTAGTACACCTTTTTTATCGACTTTGTGATCAAATTGTGTTACTATCCAAGTAGAAAGAAAATGGATATTTATGAGTTTTTAGTGCCTGATTAAATAAACAAAATTTGCCCTTCTCGAGATTGAAAATGCACCAATTCCAAGAGTTTTCATAAATATAATAGTTGTTGGTTACAATGAGATGAAACTATTTACGAAGTTTCAGGCAGATGCTAATAATTCGATAAAAAGGGGTCTGTATCACGGACTAGGAGGATAGCTATCTAATATGAGAATTTTCACTGATGTATACCAGTTACGAATTAAAACAGTTATTTTTAACTGCTCCTGTTCAATCATTAAATCAAAAGCAAAAATACTTTTTTAAAGCGTTTTCAGCAATAATTGTCTCCACGGCCGCGACTACCTTCTTTAAAACGGCTGAAGAGTTTTGTGTTGCATTCGACATCTCGCCATATCTCAAGATTTCATTGAGTTGTGCTGATAACTTGAAGCTTCTTTTCGCTAGCATATCTTCATCCCAAAGCCATACCATATTGAAGACCTATGTACAATTAACAACTGTTTGTATTAATAATTGTTTTTGTTTCATAAACTTCCAAGAATAAATGTTTTATGGTAAAAACGTTGAAAAAAACATACCGATAATTTAACAGATACGGACTTTGATTCTTTATAAGAAGAGCTTCGATACTGAAACCAAGTTGGTAGCCAATTCCTGCTCTCTACTTCGTTGGATCTTTTTATTGTATTGAGAGTGTTCTCTTCGGAGACTATCTTAACTGACTCCGATATTCTTGTACTCTGTTAAATAATAATGTTACAACAGGTTTGCTTGTCTAGTTTTAGATTTCATGAAATTAGTTTTACTGCTTCAAATACTAAATTCAATTTGACTAAAATTACTTTTTAATAATTATTGATGAATCGAAATACTACTGTATATACTTAGATTAAAAATGTCTTTTTGTATAAGAACAACAATGTGCTACAATGATGCCTTGTAAATGTGTTTATCATGCTTTCAATTATTATTGAATTATTAATTTCAATTATTAATAATTCGTCGTATGACGTACATTTTATAAAATAGAAAAGAGCCAAATGGTCAGTGTCACAGTTATTAACTACTATTTTTTATTTTTGTTAACTAATGGGGTATAAGAACTTTAAACTATATTTACTTTTTGATCAGCTGAAATAGGTTCTGTTGTATATAAGTTTTTTCTACCATCAAATGCACAAGTGGAATTCGGGAACTTCTCGGCTTCAGTTATCTCAAGTACTTTTCTAAAGGTAATGTTAATGCTTTAATTTATTTTAATAACATAATTTTAAAATTAAAATAGATTTTATTATAGTTGACATATGAGGCGAGACAATTAAATAAAGCGAATAATACTATAAAATATTTTATTTTGATTTTATAAACACTTATTCGTTATAACCTTCAATATACATGAGAGAGAGGGAGTGAAGGAGGAGGAGAAAGGAGAGAGAGGGAGGACACTAAAGTACGATATATGAAAAAAAAATTAAATACACGAAAAGTTTGTCTTAATTTGTTAAGTTGTTTCAGATAACAGAAGCGTTGAGATCCTAGAAATGTATTCTGTATCCAGGATGACTATATGACTTTTTTAAATCACATTCTCTGTAATCCATCCACCAACCTATATATAGGGTTAAAAATAAAATAGATATTAGTATTCATTACCATCCTGTTTATAAAATTCATGGTTTTCTCTTTTGAATATCGGAATTTATGGACGTATGAAAAACATATCTCAAAAAACGTATGTAAAGAACAAAAAAAAGTTCTGTTCTTTTCAAGTCAAATTAATTTAACGATTCAGAAGCTGCTCAGTGTCAGAACAGCTTTTTGGCAAACTTTAAATGCACATTCGGTAGATAGTGATTTTCAGGACAAGATAAGGTAGAATTGAAAAATCCCTGATGAGGGCCTGAACTTCGGGCTGGAACGTCGGCAAATGTAAAAATAAATGTAATTTTTTATTTTGATTTATCGTCCCAACCATCCTTTTCTTAAATTATTCACTACAGTCAACCATCAATCCACAATTAATAAAGTAGAATTCTTGAATCCGCGATTTTTCAGATCCTTTTCCAACTGTCTAGCTTTAACAATTTTTTCCCTCTTCTATTGTTTTAAAAGGCTTAAGATAATAAATGCATTGATCGCCAAAAATTATTTTAAGAAGTGATTATTTGGAAGCTAACGTACCTGCAAAGTTTAAGTCGGCTTGGTTCTGGTTCGATGCGAACATGGTAGTGAAAAACACAAGCGGTGGGGTCAGTAAACGATACAGGAACATAATTTATTGTGACCGTTATAGGATTACCTCTCTTTCCCAGAATCCTCTTTTTCACAAAATCTTTTTTTATATTTTCTTCATTCGACGTTTCATCATCTAAAGTCGAAATAAAATATGCTTATCTTAAATTTTATTATAATTATATATTTAAATGTGCCTATTAATTTTTTTTATAAAATACTCTGGTTGATTAGTAATCGCTTACCACTTTTATCATTAGTTAAAATATTTTCGTCTGATTCTTCTTTGTCTACATCATCTAAGTCAACCCATCTTTCTGGCTGTCTACGAATATTATGGTGCATGTTCTTTTTGTCAAAACCAAATATAGTTCTAAATCTTGCGTACCTAAGAAGATCATCGAATGAAGTAAAACTATTTATACTGTTGTGAATATAATTTATAAGAAACATGCAGCAAAAAACGAAAATGCTAGCATAATAAAGACCTTGCTTCGATTGTCTACTGGGCTGAATCTGAAGTTTTATTAAAATGGTCAATACTCAACAAAATTTTAAAGATAAAAATAATTTGGAGGAACAGGATATCCTCAAGAGTCAAACATAATTCTAATTCAGGCAACAGTTTAGGCTTCACAAGTTTTCATTTAATTTTAGTTGTCATTATCAAATCCTATTACTCGAAATATAGAGGAATCCTTCTTTCTTTTAAGATGGCGCTTGTTCTATTAAAACTAAAGACTACACAGAATGCAGAAGCTTTTACACAGAATGCAGAAGCTTTTACACAGAATGTGGCTCTGATCATAGTTAGACCTGAAGCGAGTGAAGGAAAATTGTTTTTAAATCGTTATTATTGTGTGTTTTAAGTTTGAATTATTTTCATACAGAATGCTGGCATATGTAGTTTGATCTTTAAATCTAAAAACCATCATGTAAACCAAAAACGGAGCAGTTACGAACACTTTCAACATGGCAAGATTTGACCGGAAAGTGGTTTCAACATAACATGCTACAAAACGTTTAATGGAATTCCTTACTTGAAAACTTCCTGATATAACGAGAAACTTCACTTCAAAACTTTACAAATATAAAACATTTTTTGAAGCACTTAACAAAACTGGTAAAATCTTTAGGATATCATCAACGATTACATTCTCAAAGCTCCTTTTTTAAACTGCTTGTTTTTAATTACAAAGGACCTAAATCCTTCCTTGTTTTATTTATGACGGTGGGAAACTTAAAAAAAAACGAATTATAACAGAAAACAAAGTATAACCTAACAACTTGATTCTTCCAAACAACTGTTTACTAACGCATATCCATCAAAAATGTCACCTGATATATTGAAGGATTTTAAATATTCGATTTATTATTTTCGAAATTAATAATTGTTGTTCTTATTTCTCATTACCTTCACATAAATCTTTAAGTAAAGTTTGACTTATTCTATGTAAAACTCTAATTATATAGAACTATAACTCGAGATGGACGAAAGATTTCTGAACTGATTCAAAAATTCTTTTCATATTACTGAAGATGATTAGAGAAGTTTGATCGCTCTTTCAAATGAACCATGCCACTACCTCCACACTTCGCCAGTCATTAATAATTAGTATTTTGAAAGAAAACAACAGTATTTATCAAAATAGCATAATTAAGTGACCTCATATCAAATTTGGCCACCAGTCATTTTCAGAACGTCTTGAAAAATCTAATTTTTGTTAAATAGCTTCAACTTAAAACATTCCAATGTTGTTTTTGTTATTAAATTCATTTTTCAACTTAAAAATTCTTTTAAGTTATATGAGTTATTCTAATGATTGTTTTAAATTGCAGCTATGTAACAAAAATTGGATTTTTCTTGACTTTCTGAAAATGAAAGATGGACGCTTTCAAAAGCCAGTGAATTAGTGTTGAAATGAATTGCTTACACTTGAATAGTTTGAAAGCATATTTACATTTTACAGTTTATCAATTTTCCTCAAAACCAAATATGTTATTTCAATAATTTTAATTCAAATTGTCGATTAAATGGCATAATTTAAAATATGTTTACCATTTTTATATATATTTTCCAAATAATATTCATTCAAAACATTTCTATCCATTATCTTGCTATCGTTAACTAGCAATTAAACAATAAAGTACCCCCAAATATTTGTTTTTTCATTTTTAGATCACTATTGTTTTTATATTTAAATATTCTTGTTGAAACAGAGAATTTAAATTCATACATTGAAATTATAGAAGGTGAAATTCTACCTCTTCTTATAAATCGATTGTGCAACATCGATTAACTTAGTTCGTTGATGAAAGTAGAACAAAGTTAACCTTCTTGTTCCTTGTTTATATTGGTGTTGTTTTAGATAAGTTTCCCTTTGAAGAGTTAAAAGTTTAACCATGGCCGACTTTCTTGAAATTGACGATGTTGAAGGTATCGAGATGGATGAAGAAGGTGAAGAGGAAGGCGATGCAGGTATAGCTCTATTGAAAGAAAAAGCTAACAAACGTAAAGGGCGAGGGTTTGATGACAAAATCCACAGGGAAGAATTAGAATATGAAGGTATAGAGGATGAAGATGATAGAGACCCAGGACCTCAGAGGTCCGTAGAAGGATGGATATTGTTTGTCACATCAATCAATGAAGAAGCACAAGAAGAAGATTTGATTGAAAAATTTTCAGAATTTGGTGAAATTAAAAATATACATTTAAATCTTGACAGGAGAACTGGATTTCTTAAAGGTTATGCCCTTATTGAATATAATCTTTATAAAGAAGCACTTTCAGCAAAGGAAGCATTAGACGGAACTGAAATTCTGGGCCAAACAATACAAGTGGATTGGTGTTTTGTTACTGGACCAAAGAAAACTACTAAGAGAAGATCTCACAAAAAATAAGCAGTTTTTTAAGACCTATTATATACACGTGATCACTCCAACACTGTTCTATAGTGGCATTGTTTTTGAGTGATTTATTTTTTAATAAATTAATACTTCTACTAATTTTGCCTTTAACTTCATGTTTCATTACAAAATTAAGGTGTTTTCATTCAAATTTGTAATATTGTTTTCAGTTTTAAACTGATCAAATTTAAAAGTAAGTTTTTTAATTTTGTCAAATGTTAATCTTGCTTAAATAAATAGTATAATTTTTTTTACATTATTTTAATCTATTAACTGTCTCCTGAATATATTCTATTTTTTATTTTAACATATTTAATCTCTTCACACTGTTACTTATGTATGTATTTTTATAAATCTAATGTTCTTGGATCCAATCAGTCTATTTTTGATTAATTGCTGAGACTGAATTATATCAAATATCCTCTTATTTCCTTATGATGTAATTCAGAAAGCTATTCAAATTAAGAGTTTATATGTTGGGAACTAATTAAAAGATAACAAACACAAACTTTGAATCTATAATATAGAGATAAACAACTAACTGAACATGGGTGATAAATATTCAGAACGCAGTCTTTTTTTATTTTTGCCAACGTTTCAACCCAAACATGTGGGTCTTCTTCAGTGCTCAAACCACGCCCTGAAGATGACCGACATGTTTGGGTTGAAACGTTGGCTAAAATAAAAAATTTTAATCCTGAATATTTATCACCCATGATATGTAGAACAGTCGACTAACTTCCTTCAAGAACTAACTTAACATTTTGACAATCCAGGCATCATCATTATCAAAAAACTAGATAACATTCTCACAGAACTAAATGCTTCTTCACACAGAATGCGATATTGGTATCCATTGTCTATATATTGGCTTTGGATTATTCTACTCTGTGTGACTTTGGTAGCAATACAACACTTGCCGTCGACAGAAGACGTATATTTTATTATGTGTGTAGAAGCCATTATACAACACATCAAGAGTTAATAAAGACAATCCAAGTAGAGCAAGGGTTCCCTGATTTTCACTTTAAATCAACTTTAACTTTTTAAATGACTGATCCTACGATCTCAGATCTTATTATAGATATTAGTGTTTAATGTTTGTCTTCATTAAAAACATAGACTTATTTACAGAAGTTTATTTGATATACTAATCATAACAAAGTATCAATGTTAGGCTCAGTGGAGGTCAACTTGATTCATCTATTTCGGCTTTAACACTCGATTCTTTCATCTTTATTACATTAACTATTGTAGGTTATTATTGTTAATTTTAGATGGTGTTTTTCAACTTGTTTACTTTTTAAATTCTTTTACATCTTGAAAGATATTTTTATCCATGTTTTTTTTTTCCTTATTACCTGCAACGTTCTTGCATTCCACCACTGATTCAAAATCCCTGATCTAGAAACAGTTCATAGTGTTATGCGATATCACATCTCTAGTTAATGAGTCTTATTTTCCGTTAATCTGAGATGTGTAGAATTTGATCTACATAATTATGATTTGTTTTTCCTGATTTCTGAATCAGGGAAACATAATAGGGTTAGTTTTTCATATGTATTCAAGGCTGTATGTTTAGAATTTTTTAATTATCCTATTGATACTAAGAGAAATATCTGCTGCGCGCAACACACAACTTTCACTTACCGATCTACTTTGAATAGAAATTATTTTCTGGCAATGGGGGGCTATTATAAAATTTTTTGAAGTGCATTTTAAACGGAGCTAAAGCTTAAATCTTACATTTAGCTAGTCATTAAGACCATTATAATTACAAAATGTCTATTTAATATATCGACGACAGGCAATAAAAATCTAGTCACTCCATCTGCTTTTATAAACCACACAACTTTCTTTGCTTTTTATAAACCACAGAATGACAAACTCCAATTTCTACATTTTTGAGTGATGTCATTTTAGTGATATTTTCAGTTGAAAAAGTTATCTATGCAGACAATGAGTAAGTTGATTCCAGAGGTGGTGCTTGCAGTGTTGAAATATAGAACTGAGAATAAAGATATAAATTTAGGTACTTATTTCTTATGAAAGATGTTCTTAGGAAAAACACTTTATTAAATAACTGTATAAAAAAGGTTTTTTAGTCTCAACAATTAAAAAAATATATTTTAAATTTATCCAAATTTTCGCCTCTTCAGGGAAAAAAACTAGAGACCATATCTTTCCTCCCAATTGTCCGATTTTAACTTTTTTTTAGGAATTTCCATAAACTTCTAAAAAACCATATACAATATACAATATCCCCAAAAAAGCGTATACTTTTTGAGTTATTCGGAATTTAATTTTAACATCCATCGTAACTTTTTTTCCAGCTTCTTTTCGTTGAAGTATGTTATATAGATAAATTTAAAGGGTATCGAGAAAATGACTTTAGCGAAGTTTCATTGAAATCGGTGCATTCGTTTAGGCGCTACAGTCTATAGCAACGCAGGTTTTTCTGCATTTTTATTTTTTTTCTCCTTTATTCACTTATCAAATCCTTTCAAAAGTTATATGTAGCATTTTTCCATAACTCTGAATAATGCGAAATGGTTAACTTTTAAAATAAACCATATTAACGGAAAAGTTGCTGTTACATCCGGCCCATATACAAACCTTAAATACTTAATATCAGTTTCGTACTACTTTTCGTTTATGAGCTAGACTGTTAGTTGACACACACACACACACAGACCATTTTGCGACTCTTGGTTATTTGAACTCAGGGGGACCTCAAAACATGTATTTCCGTTGAAAACTGAGATTCGAAAATTTTCACGATCGCAATACTTACCCTTACTATATATTACATATATACGTAAGTGAAAGTAAAGATAAGATTCAAATCTATGAAACAGTTTCTTTTAAACAGTAATTAATTAATTGAAAAGATGTTGGTTGGGGTGTTCAGTCAAAAATATAAAGTAAAAATATCAGTTATTTATTTTTACTTCCCCCAACCAACTTATCTTCAATTATTCCCTACAGTTAATCATCAATCCACTATTATTTATTAATTAAGTATTCTAATTACTTAGAGCAATACCACATGCAACTTGTCACTAAAATCACCATTTTATTACAAAAAGGGTGCCATTTTCAAAACAGTAAATATATAATAAGTATATTTTTTTATACTCATGGTTAGGACTTCAATTTTTGTAATAAAACACATTTAATCCTTTCTTGACCATTTCCATGGGAAGTAACCTTACTTTATAAGATCTAAAGAGACGGAAGCATGTAAAAAGAACAAATTATTCCAAATGATTTTATTTTATTAAGTAAGGTTTCTTCTCATGAAATTGACCTAATGAGGTGAAAGTTGAGTATAAAGAAAGAAGAAGGTAATAGGACTAAGGATCAAATGTTTTTTTTTATTATTACAAAGTAAATATATAGTTCATTAGGTAACCAATAAAATCAGTCACAATATAAATTCCTGTTTTAATGTGTCGCATGACCTAGGAAAGGACTACCTTAATGGCTATTGGTTTATCTTATGTTGGCGGAGCAAGCTTTCATCGCTATACTTGAAATGATTGATTGTACAAGTGAGGATGATGAGAAAAAATATACCTTTACCACTTTAAAAAATATACCATCCTATTAATTAAGTTTCATTTCAAGACATTTTATTAAAGGAAATAAATAACATATTTTTGTTTTATCATATAATGTGGAATGGGAAAAATTAAGTCTGTCTTTAAAATAAATTGTAAGAAAAGTGTATTGCTATGAATAATAAGTCAGAACAGATTGTTGGTTTCCTCTGAGAATAAGGCATGGAGGCATCCCTGCGGTTATTAGCTCCAGCCATGCCATGTAGAGAGGTGCTGAGACAGTACCTTTTCGTGGCATTGGTAGTGTGCTAAAAATTTAAAATAATAGATTTAGTCAAATTTTTATTATTAATTAAACTTAATAAATAAATATTTAATTTGTAGAGTGGCTAGCAAAATGTCATCCCAGTTGACTTAAAAGTCCATCCAGTCAATGCCTACATGGTACTTAAAAATATATTGATCAAGTATGATGTTAACTTACACTACAAGAAAAGTTGAATCTTTTGAATGTTCAAACAACAGCTCTCTTAACCTCATATGCCTATTTGTTTTCTCTGCTAATAACGAAAGTTCTGCATCGGTGATACCCAATCCATTTTCGCTGCCTGCAAATATGTCTTTAATTATTAAATTTAATCATTCCGTTACTCTAGTATATAATTTTAATGCCAATATGATGACCTTGTTCGGAAGAACCTTCCCTAAAATTTTTCACCATCCCTTCAAATTCTTTAACTGTTTCAGGTTTTGCTTTTTTTGTTATATCTGGAATGATTTTGAGATCACTATAATCTATACGAAATTTAGAAAGTAATGCTGCCAAACTGTAAAAAATGATGAAATAATTTTTCATTAATGATAAATATATTAAGTTGAAAAAAAAATATATATATAAATTATAATTAATAACTTGGAATATATAATAATAATAATAATAAAATATAATAATAATAATAATAATAATGCTTTATTTATTCTGGGATGAGTCCCTTTAGAATAATACAGAAAGACAAAAATATGGGCTAAGGAGCCTCAGAGATACATAAACAAAAACATAGAGTAAGGGAATAGTCAAAATAATAAAAGAAATTATAAGTTAATTTCTAATTTAAATCAGTTAATAATAAAAAAAAGAAAATGAAAAATTGGAAATAAACATAAAGTAAAAATAATGAAGAACGATCTGATAATTTATATACATATTTACAGTAGTAACTATTTACAATTTCATGGGGACTGGATGGATAAGAAATTATTGAACAGGTAGGTTTTAAAGGTAGGAAAGGTTTTGGATTGACGAATGTCGGCAGGAATGGAGTTCCATAGGGATGAGGATCGGATAATGAAAGATCTGTCGAAAGAAGCAGTTCGGTATATATACTATCAAGCAGAGATGGGCAGAAAAGAGAAAATTGAAAAAGAAATCAGTTTTATAGTCGCGTAGTCCTTCAGGGCTGTTTCACGTCAAATATTAATAATATATATATATATATAACAAAAGTTTTATACACCTTATTTAAATACAACAAATTTTTTCAATTCTTACTTTCTATGTGCTCGGTCTAGTTCATTTCTTCTATTGGCCAAAGAGAAGATGCGTAATTTGCATTCAGAGTACTGAGATCTTGTGCTTAATATATGTGGTATCAGTAGCGTCAGGCCTGAAATAATTTAAAAGTAAATTATTTGAAATGGAAGGACAAACCATGACTGCTGGTTGAGCTAAAAATTCTTTGTTATGCTATATGAAAATATATATATATATATATATATATATATAGTTCAAGTGATTCGTTCATAGTTTTAATTGTTTTGTTCATAATTTTAAATGCTTTGTACATAGTTTTATCTGTATTGTATATAGCATGTGCACCTAAGGTTTTCTTTACTTTTTATTTTATTTTATTTATTGTTTCAAACGTTTAGGCCAGTAATATTCTATTATGTTGTACATTATTGTTATTCTGAAGGGACTTAGTCCCAGAATAAAGTTTTTTTTTCTATCTATCTATCTATCTATCTATCTATCTATCTATCTATCTATCTATATATATATATATATATATATATATATATATATATATATATATATATATATATATATATATATATATACATATATATTTTTTTTTAAATTAAATACTTGACCATTCAAAGGCTAGAGCCAATATAATTTAATGATTATACTCCGAAACTGCAGAATAACTTACTTTTCACAATTTTCGTTATTAAACAGGTCTTGATTTGTATATACGACAGTATATTATGTAGGCCAATTTATACATATGTATGTTGTCTTATATACAGATTAAGAGCTGTATAATATCGAAAATTGCGAAAAGTAAGTTTTTCTGTATAGCTTCAGGGTTATTGTAAATAGAATGCATAGTTTTACTGATATAAGCTAAAAACCAAAAAAGTACACTTTTTGAATCATAAATTTAATTTTGCAACTTGAAATCCAAGGGTTTGAGTTAACTGACTATTATTTCATGTCTTAAAACTATAAATACTATAAAGTGAAAGGATTAGTAGCTTTATATATCTATAAGCCCTCTATATATATACGCTTATAACATATGTAGGTTCTCTATCTATCTTCCCATGGCCGCCATTTTGTATTCCAGCGGCTATATGCTGGCAGTCGTGTATTTTTCTCATCAGGCCTGTGGATATGGTCAATTTATAAGGACAAACCTTAGTATGAAATATGACACGGGCTCCAGGACTATTAAGTATAAGTTAAATAAATGCAATTTTAAAAATTGGAATATTGAACAAAATATTTATAGTGTCAATTAAAAAAAAAATACTTGCCACCATCATCATACAGCCACCAAACATCAATGAATCCTTTTTGCTGCTTCCTTCTGAAGTAGGTTATCGCTGCGAGATGGTGAGTGGAAAGCGGTTGACCTTCCGCTCCACAATATATGTCACTGGTATCTTTTCCACTCAAACTATTTTCGATTGGAATAGTAGTCGCTAAATCTTCACCCTTAATCGAATCACAGGATAAACTGCTTTCACTGCACACATCATCTGTTAATACATACCAATGTTAATAATATTCTATTAACAAACATAGAATATCAGCTCATATTGGGTACCGTATTTAAAGATTTTTTTAATTTACATTCTAGATAAATTTCTTTGGGTCGAAATGTCGGCTAACTCATTAAAGAAATTTTAGACTGCAAATTAATTAATTTTTTTTCATCCTTATAATTTCAACAGTCTATCACAAATCCATCTCTATAGTTACATTTCTTTGGACTAAAGTTTCTTTTTTGCGGATCAGACAGAGTAACTAAGGATGATAGTTGGCATTGGAGATTGGGAGACAGTGCCAGTCTTAGACATTTGGCGTCCCCGAGCAATGATGTCATCTCCCTCCAAAAAATTAAATTTATTTCTTAAACTGTTTTATATTAAGTAATACAAATTTAGTTTCTATTTCATTCAAAATGTCCATAATTCAGTTGCTTTATTAATAGACAAAAATTAATATTCTCAAAAGCTTTGTAACTTTTTTTATTCATAAAAGTGGCAGGCTCTCAATTGCCAGGGTTGTTCAGCCCTAAAGCCTGCACGATCAGGAGATGCTATAAAGGATGAACAAAGCTAGGAAAGAGTTTGAAATATGGTATTCTAGTTGAACTTTAGTATAAAAGAAATACATAATTAATAATATTAAGGAATATAATATATTAATATTGCCTACCTAAAGATAGCTGGCCCTCAGATATATTCCGAGAAATTTTAATTTCACATTTTCTTTCCAATACTGGACTCAAAGGAGGATCCTCTCCATCTATCATAGAAGAATAATCAAGTCCTTCAGTCATCCGGAGAATGCCCACTGCCATGTAGCTATCTAGAGCAACGCTGCAACGTCACAAGAAACAACTTTAATTCTTTATATGAATGAATGTTTTCTTAGATTAGTAGGTTCTTTATGTATCTGATCTTAAATTTTTATATATTTTTATGTAACTTAAAAAATATAATCACTATTATGATCTATTAGATTCCGTGACAATCGCTAAACAAGAGATCCCAGCCCATAAACCTGTATATTCCTTCTCATAGAACTGCTTCCTTTTTCAAAATCCTTAATAATATGTGCTTTCTTGTTACGGAATTCGTTACCCACCTCCATATGCAAAAACCTCTTCTTTAACTCGAATTATCCATCTTGCCAATCAATCTTCCGAATGTATGTAGAATTAAATTTTCATTTTTATGTATTGTCAGCCTCATTTTACTGTAACCTATATATTATCTAGGTTGCATGTCAATACAATTATGTAAACATACTGATATTTATTTATGTATAATTTTATTAATTTTCTTATGTTTATCCTTTATATTAATTCTAAGGTTACATCACTCTGCAATTTAATTATTTCTTATAATTTTATGCCTGACAAATGACTCTTCTGTTTATTGTTATTATTCTTATGAAACTAAATGAATCAAAATAAACTTTTTTTTTCTTCTTCTGTTTAATTCTTCTTCCTTATATGACCTTCCTTTGCTGGGAGTTTCTTTTTAATTATATTTTTCAATTAATGGTAAATTAAAATGGCACTTGAATGTATATATGAACCAGATTATTTAGTAAATATGCCACTCAAATTTTATTTATACTTTTTAATGAGTACACTACTTTTTAAAAAGCTCTTCAATACTGTAATTACTTTTTATAATTTAGTATAATTCTAAATAAAACTGATAACATCATTTTTTTTACTTACTGCAGAATCGCAAAATACTGATCCAATTCATTCCTTGAGCAACTGGCCCAATCACGTTTATAACCCATTAATATCATATTCGGCCTTAATTTTCCAAGACCAGAGAGCCTCATTAATGCCTTTGCAACATTTGTCTCTTCTGCAGCATTTTCACCAAGGAGGAAAAAAGCCTTTATCTTAAAGAAAACAAGAGTATAATCTATTAAGTACTGAATTATAAGTTATCTAATGAATTGATAATTAGAATATATTAAATGAAAAATCTAATTATACAAAATTTTGGGGTTAAAATTAACAAAACATGCATTAATATATTTAAAGTTTAGTATTTCATCAAAATATATTCAATACTTGAATTGTTTATTTCCAAATTGTATTCTAATCATCATTGACAAATTTTCAGGAAACACAAAAAATATATTTTCTATTCCATTATTATATTTATATTACTATATTTATTATTATTTATAAAAAATAAATTAAGAAATTCTTTATTTGTAGCACATACATAGTAAAATAATGTTATAAAATTTTACTATAAAAATAAACTTATTGTTTACAATAATGATACAGTAAATTAATTTATTTTTCATTTGAATAAAACTGTTAAATCAATCACACTTACCTTATGTTGTTCGAACCAATGCTGGGCTTTATCGCACAGTGCATCATGGACTCGTTTTGAAAGTGTTCCCTGAATAAATTAAAATAATTAGGTAAAAAAAAAAATTATTGAAAATATTTAATAAATAGCATATCGATAATAAGTGTAAAACAATAAGTAAGTAAAAAAAAAAACATAAAAATGAGTAAGCATTGTCAATGTGAAGGTTTGGATAATAAAAATGTCTGTGAAACTATTCTACCCCCTCCCCATCCAAGATATTTTATTGCTCATTTTCTTAAAAACAGAGCAAAGGAAAGTTGAATTAAAAAAATCACAGATCATACACAATTACAGTTGCTGCGATCCCTTATTGAAATGTGCCCCCTCAAAAATTCAAAAACCCTTTAAAATATGCCTCTCTCAAAATTTTTGATGGCACAATTTGTGCCATGAACCCCCCCCCTCGGGGAATCCCTGTATTTCAATAATTTTAGATATGTTATAATAATTAAGAGAAAAAAAGTATAAAAAGTGGTAAAAAGAAATCTGTGAAAATTGCAGTGTGAATAAACGTTTTTTCTTAGATAAAACTAGTGACTAGTATAAATGAAAAAAAAATTAAAAAGACAATTCCAAAAAAGGATGGAAGGATTAACAAGTTTACAGGCAAGACATTAATATACGTGAATTTTAGTTAACTTTAGAATTCAAAGATGGAGAAGTTCCTCAAAGCTGTAAGAGAAAATCAAGTTGCTGAATTAAATTAAATTATGATTATATCTCACAATGATTAACACTTAAAATTTTTCATGAAAATTACTTGCTCACCTTATAGAACTGTGTACATATAAGAAGTGACTTTCCTTTTGTTATTAAATTGGCAAAATCGATCAGAGCTGGTCTTGCACCGGGTTGTCCGGAGAGAACAAGAACTTGTGGTCGGTAGTTCTTGACGTGTTCAGCTACTTTGTTCAATTCTAGCGCAGATCTCAGTGCGAAATAGTAAGCCTGAGCTTGCGTACTTGATCCCCAGTTTACTTCTATAAAATAATTAATAATCCATTTATTTACACAAATGGAGGTTATCTGATTAAGAGCATTTTTATATTGTTGATAACAACCCAAACGTTAATGATACAGTAGACACATACTGCAACATAAGTTGATATATGTCGCTACTGTTAGTGCAAAAGGTAACAATTTAAGATGTTTATTCTATTAGTACCAAAGGTGACATTTTGTAGTCTGCTACTATAAAAAATAGTATAGGGAAATAAAATATGAAATTATACTAATAAATCATCAGTTAATAATCAGTTTCTCTGTTTGTAAAAAAACTCAATTTTTACATACGACCTTTTGCACTAAAAGTAGCTATATAAATATTTTTTTAACAACTTTTTTTTTTGTTGCAATTAAAAACCTTACAGTTTAAAGAAAAACAATAAGGTTTATATGTCCTAAAACAATTAAGGTGATTTTATTCCTCAGTTTCAATTCAAATCTTGTGTCTGTACATTGCTTATTATCTAAATCAATATTTTTTTACATTTTCAGATATTTTATCCAAAAAGAAACAATGTAGTGTGAATAGCAAGGCAAATTATAGTACTTATGCGGTTCATGAGATTCAGAAGTAAAAATACCAAATAAGAAAAGAGTATCTTCTGACTGTACATTTGTGAATATAAAATTCAGTAAGAAAAAAAAATCTGCACGAACACATGAACTACTAGATGGTGCATTACAGAAATTTATATAAATATCATTTCTCTTTTCAAGATGCTCCGTACTTTCAGAAATTTGATTTTAATACAATCTGTTTTTTTATAGCAGCTTTTCTAATATCCTGCCAATTTTTCATATGAAATAAATATTAATATTTAAGTATTCTTATATTGTTTAAACTGCAGACAATTATATTTAATTTGATTTGAGGATACAGGCAGAACAAAAAAAAAAAAAAAGGGAAGTAATTTTTAAACAATTTAAGTCATGCTTTGATTAAGTGATTCAAGGGATACCCAAAATATAATAAAAAAGAGAAAAAAAGTTACTCAAAGATATTCCAAAAGACAAAATAATACCTGGTTTCCGGTATGAAACATATAAATAAAGGGTAACAACTACAAAAAATGTCGCAAGAGCAGTCCACCATGAAATAAGGAACATAACTGCTATGCACAACAGCGTTCCAGCAAGGCTTACCCAGGCATTATAATACTGAAAAGAGATTGTATATTATTAAAAAATATAATGAAAATACATTTTTTTTTAAGAATTAAAGTTTTAAGAACTTGCTTTTCATGCTTTTTTAAAAAGATATTTTCCAGAGAAAAACCACAGTGTGCAAATGCCGAACATATGGAAATTTATATAAATTAACACAAACTATGATACTAATGCTATCTTAAATATTATCAACCAAAGTTCAATGTGCACCTTACTTTAAACGCTGGCCTCCAACCAGGACTCTTTGAAATGGATACATGAAACACTGAAAAGTTGATCAGTGCATAAGCAGCCAAAAAAAAATTTGATAATAGCGGTGCAATGTAGTTCAACTGTCCTAAACAGGTAATTAATATTCATTACTTTAATTGTTATTTTCTGATAGATGATATTAAAATAATATATAAAATAAGTGAATGAAAATGTATGTTATACAAGTAATTATCTTTAGATAAAAAAAAAAAAGACTTGATGTAAACTAGAAATATGGTGTTTAAGTCATCATTAACTGCAAAGAAACACTTTTATTTCTCTATTTTTAAAAATATTATATATTTCTTTCAAATACAATGAGGTGAAGAATAATTTTATTACAATAAGCGGAATTCAATATACATAAAAAAAAGATGTGATACTACTATTACAGTAGTAGTTTTATTGAATACATTTTCACTTATTTAAATTAAATCAAATACTTATTTTATATATATATTATAATATTTTAAAGCAATCAAATTATCAATATAACCTCTAAATATTTTATACAATTTCAGCTTTATGCTATAAATTATCTATAGACTCTTATTACCAATAAGAATGCATCCAAATGCAATCACAAAAACAAGAAGGTATCCCCTGATTGGATCATTATTTGCACCATATCCTTTTGAAAAAAATTCTATGGAAGGGTATAATTTATCTTTTGCTAAGGCCTAAAACAGAGTAATTATTTTCAGTTGTCAAACCAATTTTAAAATTAATTAAGAATCTCAAATCTTTTTAACCTGCAATACTCTTGGAGCTCCGACCAAACTTGCAATCGCTGAGGAAAGAGTTGCCGCAAAACATCCTCCATAAATAAGCGGTCCCCATAATGCAACTAACTCCATTACCTAAACAAAGTTATCATAATAATAGTTTTATTTAAAATCATTTTAATTTGAACAGAAGAAATAAATGAAGAACACTATATTTTTTTAATATAATCTATGCTAACATGTAAAGTTAAGCTCTTAGTTTATTGAATATTTATTGATACACCCTTAATTAAAACTTAACTAGATTTTATGCATAGAGATCTCAAATTATTAAAATATAAATAACCTTAAACTTTTAATTATAAATACCTGATTGTCATTTTCTAAGCCATATCTACAAGTAGAGTTGCATTCCGTTAGCCTTTCCCATCTTTCTTCAAGAGGAATCCCTTCTTCAGTTTGAAGAGAGGTGACATTCCCTGAAGCATCTCGCAGTACACATCCTCCCATCATAAGTGCATATGAGATATAAGATAGAAATGTAGTTATTATAGCTAAAAGCGTGCCTTTAGGAATAGCCACACTTGGATCCTAAACAATCATAAGCACGACAATTCGTAACAAATAAAATCATTTACAAGAGAATATATTAATATAATATAAACAATACCTTTAAATCCCCTGATAAATTAGCTCCAGCAACGATTCCTGTCACTGCTGGGAAAAAAACTGAAAAGACTGAGAAGAAATCATGTTCAACTCCTTCAAAAAGGCGATAATCTGACATTAAATTCTTTTTGAAAACTCCTACTAAAACAAAAAATAAAATGAAATTATAAAAATGACTCGAGATTAGCCCTATACATAAATATATACAAGAATAAATTAACATAAAATAAATCTTACAATTATAACCAACGAAACCTTTCGCTTCTTCTATTTGAGTTTTGGGGCCAACAATACTTCCAATAACAAAATCTAGCTGAGAGGCTATTAGAACAATAAGGAGACACATTTGAGTCTGTAACAAAAAATATTTTTTTTTACAGTTATGTTTTATTATACATAAAGGATCAGTAGCTAGGATGATTCTAGAATTTAGAAAGCAAATGCCATTGGATAAACTCTTAACTACATTTTACAGTACAAGATGGTTCACAGAAAAATAAAACATTACCTACCTCTACAATCAGTAGTGAAATATCATATTTACGCCATATTTATCAACAATGATATAATTATCATAATCCAGAATTTTAGTACTTTCCTTTAAAGGTGTGTTTATAAATAATTATTTTTAAAAATGGGCATATTTAAAACAAATTACTCATATTGCTAAAAATAGTACAGTATCCATAATTTTACTTACTACATTAATAAATTATAATGGTGAACATCAATATTGTTGAGGATGTTTTTTGTCCTATTGATTTTTTATTTATAATTAGTAAATGGTTGACTGTCGTGGATAATGAAGAGAAGAATAGTTGGGGTGGTCAGTCAAAAAATAAGGCAAAAATAAATGATAATATTTATTTTTTATTATGTAAAAATAAATATTATCATTTATTTTTGCCTTCTTTTTTTACTGACTACCCCAACTATTCTTCTCTTCATTTTTTATTTATAATTTACTTTTATTTATTGTTTAAATAATTAATTGCTTCTTTTTTAATGAGTTTTCATTAAAACATCTAAAATTAATTTTACTTATTTTCCATCCTTCACATAAATAGGTTGTATTCTTAAAGATAGTTATAATTTATTGGTTGATTTCTTACTTATTTATTTCCTTAAATCCATTTATTTTATTTTTTTTTACAGGTAAAATAATTGTTTTTTAACAAATTATATTAAGATGCATTTAGACATTTCAAAAACATATATATAAATGCTATGCTAGTATTTTTGTTTCTTATTTTTTGAAATTTAGCATCTACTGTCAGCATCAAGAGAAATAAAATAAACAGTTTGGCTAGTCTAGCAATAATATCGCTGGTTATTAAGTAAATAATTGTCTTTCCCATAGTTTGTGAAATGTATAAATGCACTTTAAAAGTGTTGTTACAGGAACATATTATTTTTTTACCTACCAATCTATTTATCACAAAACATTAGTCCTCTACACATAAATACTGGTACAGACAAACAATCTAATGCTTTTAGTGTCCATGCTACTTTTTCCTTATTGCAGTGATGATCAGCTTATGAATATTTGCATGCGCTTGAAGGAATTTAAAACACATCCAATGGTTTAAAAATATTTAGATAGTATATTTGACGAGAGGAGTGGGATACCTCAGTGGTATGGAGCTGGCTTCCAATGCTCCAAGTTCTACCTTGGAGTATCTCTGATAAATTATTTATTATGTTTCTTGGGTCAGTGGATCAACCTCTGAAGTCAGGGGTGTCTGGAATTGGTCCTCCAGCACATTCAGTCTCTATAAAGTGGATGCCCATATAGAAATAGTTAATTAAGGGGGAAAATCTGATGGTTGAGCGTGATTTCGATCAAATCACCTCCTTGCATCAACTCTTGACCAAGAAATTGTATTTCCATAAAAATTACTGACCCAAGACCCCTTCATAGGTTGTAGTGGTACAGGTTATATTTCACAAAGGTGTCACTGTGCAGATATCACTTCACCTTCTGCAGTGGCCCTTAAATCCTCGCTTGCGGAACAAATGGAATTCAGAGCATAATATCGACAAAGTGTTCATAATTTACGGAATGGACTTAATCCGTAACAAATAATAATATTAATTTATACTTTTATTTTGTTAAATATCCTAATTGGTGAATCATGTATTATCTTTTAGTTTCTCACATAAAAGCACAAAGCCCCAGATTGCCAGGTCAAGATATCTCTGATAGCTTAGAAATAGTTATCTAGAATGCGCTGACGGGACAGAAGACCCATTATGAAGAGGGAACAATAACCAATTTCAGCCAAAGGGCACTTTCTCACACACATCTTAAGAATATTAACTATTGATAACTTCCTTTGCCGTCCTCTTCCGTCTTCTCCCCCTCTTTCCCCCCTTACTATTCTTACTATTCTTGGGTACATAAACCCCATGCTCCTAAGAACAAATCACTCATGCAGTTACATTATTGAAGTCACACTCTTCACTGTAGGAGACCTGGAGTGAACTCATATAGTCAACCTATTATCCATAGTATATTACTCTGTATTTTAGATGCCATTTGTACCATTATGAATAAAACCATTACTTATAAAGTCTTCACTGCCTCCGATTCGTTAACTATAGTATAACCTCCGTTTATTTATATCGCGATTTACGACTTCACCTAACTCGCTACTAGTCCTCTTCACTTACAATCGGACTGTTAATTAGCTTTAATTAAATCGCTGCTTTAGACTTCCGCTCGCTATTAAACGATAAACGAAGCCCAAGTATAGAAGAGGTTTGGTCTCTTACCAGTAGATTCCACTTAAACCACTAACGGATCCAGGATTTAATTTTGGGGAGACTTCTGCCCGACAGATTTTTTTTTTTTGCATGTATATATTAGGGTAATTACTTCGGAAGAAAGAAAGGAACTAATTACCTATATGGAATGGTGTTTGAGTGATTCTTGAAGCTATATTAAATGTAATTAGACGAACAATAATACTTTTATAGATAATTGTTTTCATAAAATATGGTTATATTTTACCATTTTAGGGGGGAGCCCGAAAGCTCCCTCCCCGTAGATCCGCCTGTGGCTTAGACTTCCGAATGCTTTCGCACACTTGGCCATTCTCGAGATTCCGTTAATGTCGTGAGCATAAGATCTTGTGCCAGCGATGAAAGTGTATGGACATTGGTAGAGTAGTACTTCCAGGGGTGATCATCTCCCAAAGGTGGATGGCGCAAGAATCTACTACTCGCCCCCCATCTCCCAAGATATTTTATTGCTCAACTTTTCTTAAAAAGAGAGTAAGCTAAGTTAGAATTAGAAAAATCGTAGATCATATACAATTAAATTTACTGCGGTCTGTTCTATGTTTTCATCTTATCCTTTAGTCCGAAAATTCATTACTCCGTCGAACTTTACCACCCTCAAAAATTCAAAAACCCGTCAAAATATGGCACCATCCAAAATTTTTATGGCGCAACTTGCGTCATGAAACCCTCTTCTGGGTACTCCTGATTACTTCACAAACAAGATTTGTACATAATCCTGCGCATACATAATCCTAAGCGCCATTGCTCTATAATCTCCCTTAAGTTATTTGCCAATACTAAGATGCATAATTCTGATATTAAGATGAATTTTATATATTTACCCTCGTTACCCAATCCATTCCAACAAATGCTAAAACCAGGATTCCAACCAGTGCTACAGCTGAGACAAGACGAACATCGTTTGTTCCATTGTCTATTATGGAAGCACCAAATGTCCTCAGGAGATCTTGCAAAGATTCACTGAAGCCAACGACATACATTGAGACTGCCACGGAGTTCGCTAGGGTGAACATAAGCCCGATCGCTCCACCGAACTCAGGTCCCAATGATCGAGATATCATGTAGTATATTCCACCTGCAAAAAAAAAAAAAAAAAAAAAAAAAAAATATATATATATATATATATATATATATATATATATATATATATATATATATATATTGGTTTATTATTAACAATAATGAACCATTCTGATCGAACAAAAAATTCAAAAACTTAATCCCTTCTCAAAATTTGAGGCTTTACGTTTCAGGATACCAAGAATTCGAAAAACGAATAAAAAATTTTTGTCCGTCCGCCGTCCGCGCTTTTCTCCGAAAATACTGGACCGATTTTTTTCAAATTTGGATTTAAAATTAGATGTCACTCGAGGATGATCCTCCTTCATCGACATTTCTATTTCCTTTTCCTTTTAAGATAGCCACCGAAAAACCTGCGTTGCTATAGACTGTAGCGCCTAAACGATCGTACTGATTTTCAATTAAACTTCGCTAAATTTTCTTCTCGATACCCTTTAAATTTATCTATATAACATACATCAACGAAAAGAAGCTGGCAAAAAAAGTTACGAGGGATGGTAAAATTAGATTCTGAATAACTCACTAAGTATAAACTTTTTGGTCGATATTGTGATAAGATGTTGCAAAGGTATTTAAATTTCCTAAATAATAAAGAAAGTTTCATCGAAATCAAAGCACTATTAGTAAAGATATCGCGATTTTTAATTATTTTTTGTTTATTATTTTCAATAATGAATCATTGTGACCGAGCAAAAAATTTAAAAACCTAAATCCCTCCCAAAATTTGAGGTTTTACGTTTTTTAATTTATGTTACCAATGAAGTATGTTTATGAACTTTGCAGAAAAAATATTTTTATGAATAGCATTGCCGAATTTAATTAATTTATCAAAATTATTGAAAGTCTATCATGGAAGTGTGTTGCCTGCAATAGGTTTTTTCAAAAAAATAAATAAAAAAATTTATATATATATATATATATATATAAGAGGTTTGTTTTGAGTTGTATGATTGATTTTCGGATTTATGTTATTTGTCCTTAGAGGCTCAATTTATAATATGAATAAATAAATAAATCTTAAAATGTGAATATGCCAAAATATAGCAAAAATATTTAGTTGGAATCGTACATATTCAGAACTTCAATCTGAGGTGGTATACGATAAGATAGTCTAAAATAGTAAAAACCACAAAAAAATCATGGGAGATGTTTCTCACAATATTTTTAATCCGTAGTTAAAATTGATTGTTTTACTTTTTTTCTGTCAAAAATATTACAAAATGAGACCGTTTGTGATCACAGGCGCATTTACGGGGGGGGGGGGAGAGTTTTGGACTGGAGTCCCCCCTCCCTTCCCAAAATGGAAAAATATGACCATGCTTTATAGAAAAAAATATTAAAAACTATCTCTTAAAATATTATTGTTTGTGTAATTATATTTAACAGGACTTCAAGAATCGCTTAAACACAATTTCATATAGTTAGTTAATTTATTTTTCTTTTTTATTAATTATCGTTCTATTATTGTAGAGGAAACAAAATTCGGGCTGAACCCCTCCCCCTCCCCAAAAAAAAAAAAATTAATCCTGGATCCGCTAGTGTTTGTGACAGCAGCAAACTTTAAAATAAAATAACTAAAATTCTAAAGAATAAATAGAAATCAATTGAATGAATACAAATACAAATTTACATTTGTTTTATAATCTATATGCATGTTTCATGGATTTGAAATGTTTCTTACTTCGTACTTTTGTTATTAAGGAACACAGGCGGATTTATGGGGAGGGCTTTCGGGCTGCAGCCCCCCAAAATGGTAAAATGTAACCATGTTTTATGGTAAAAAATATTTAAAAAATTATGTCTCAAAGTATTATTGCTCGTTTAATTACATTTAATAGGACTTCAAGAATCACTTAAACACCATTTCATATATGTAGTTCTAAAGTATTTATCGTTCTATATATGAAAAAAAAAAAGCTTCCGGGCTGAAGCCCCACTCCTGAAATTAAATCGTGGATCCGCTAATGGATGACTTCAAGAAAAATGCTAAAACATCAATATTTAAGTCTTTACACGTAAAATTTCAAAAATATTTCCTTGAGGATGTCTGCTACTAGTGCATTCACTCTAAGGCATCAATGATTTGATGTTGACCTTGTTTCCTGCAAAATTTTGTTCACTTAAGGAAATTTCTGGGACTGCGTATTAAAGCGGGATATGAAATACGTTTAAACGATCCGACCCAAATGTTAATGTACCATTTATATTCAAAGTACTTAACAGCCGAGGAAGTAAGAATAAGATAATAAAGAAATCGGACGGCAATTCTTCTCCCCCCCCCTCACCACGGGGGACCACTAATGCCATACAATAAGATGATTGCCTACCTCCTTCTATTATACCATTCGTGCTTACTGCAGACATCGAGAGGGTAGTAGCCACTGTTACAAGGTTCGCCAGGCAGATAATGATAACACCTTCCGCTAGAACAATACCATATATATTTCATAAATCATTGATAACTTATTTATAATAATGACAATTATTTTAAAAAAAATGTAACATACCGATTCCTGCTTGACCAACTACCCATGAGAGTCTAAGAAAGAGCATGACGCCCCAAATATTAAGTATGCATCGCATCTGTAATTATGAAATTATTTATTTAATTTTTTTTTATTCGTGTTATTTACAACTATGTAAAAATAAATATACATCAAGTAAATCTGATATAGAGAAATACAGTAACACGAAATTTCCGATTAGTTCAGCACTTACTAGACTAACGCTCTAAACTTCCAATTAATTACAAAAACCTTATATACATGAATATAATAAGACCTATTTGGACTTACGGAGTTGAGCTATGGGGCTCCACTAAACCATCGAATTCCTCTCGTATCCAATCCTTACAATCCAAAAACCTCCTTAAAATCCTCAATGCTCCCTACTTTGTTACAAATAAAACCATCCATAATGATCTTAATGTTTCTTTTGTTTCAGATCTGGCCCAATCCAGATACTTATCCTTCCATAATAAACTTCAGAATCATCACAACCCTCTTGTTTTAAACATGCTTCCTCTTCAATTCCTGATAATCCTCCGAGTCGTCTGAAAAGAAGATGGCCCCGTGATCTTCTAATGTAGACATATTATTAGAGTGCTATGGGTAGTTTCTCAACAAGTGTTTTCATGTCATTATACATGTTCAAATTTACTAAATTTATTTCTTTAATACAATTGTAAATATCATTAAGAAATTTCAAAAAATAGGAGACCACGAGGCCTTCTTCTTTTCATACGCCTCGGGGGGTTATCAGATATTGAAGAGGAAGCAAGCTTGGACACGAGAGCGTTCAGATGGTTTTGAAACTTATTATGGATGAATAGGTATCCGGATTAGGCAAAGTCGGGAACATATAGGACATTAAAGTCGTTATGGATGATTTTATTTATAACAAAGTAGGCAACCTTAAGGATTTTACAAAGGATTGGATACGAAAGAAATTCGAAGATTTAGCGGAGCCCGCTCAAAGCTCAACTCCGTATGTCAAAATAGATCCATGATGATGAAAACCATCAATGGAGTTAGCGCTAAGTTTAGGAACTTATCCTAGATCCAATTGCACCAATAGACATAGAGAGTAAGATACTCATTTAATTAAATTGAAAAGTATTTGGCCTAAGAGAAAAAATAATAAAGTAACACACCTAATAATGTTTAAAGTAATTAATAATAATAAAATAGTTTGAATAAGTAATTGCTACTTACATAAACCCCCTCCACCCATCCGAATTTGATAATTTTTCCCTTTTTAGGAGGTTGAGCAGAACTCTTTCTTCTGGTATTCTTTTCATTTTTTTCTGTAGATTTGACCTATAAGAAGATAAGTTTTGAAATATTAAAAGAATATATATATAAATAATAGTAACAGGCTGAAAAGGGATGAGTGTTATGTTAAGGAGTTATAAATGATTTCGATATGAGTTATGTATTTGAGGATCAGTCGAGATGAAATTAAAATTTATTTATTGTAGCGATGGTGTGAATGAACTCCTGTATTACTATTACTAGCGTCCTTAATTGTAATGTAATAAAATTCTAAAAAGAAAAAATAATAACAAAAAAAATGACCTATCGTATTTTTATAACAAAAGCCGATGTTTCGAACTCTGTATACTGTCTTCAAAGCCTACGGATATGACATTAATTCAGGAAGTCACACACTGTGAACAGTACCACTGGAGAAAAAAAAATATTTGTTTTTCTATTCAATAGATACAGATATAAAATATTTAAATTATTATTATATATGAAAATTGTATAGGTATCTGAACAAAAACTGTCGAAGAAATATAAGACATAATAAAAAACATAAAACATATACCTAAATAAGAAGGGTATCATAAAGAAATAAAATATGAAATTAGAAAAGCCACAAGAATATGTAATATAACGGAAAATAATATGAAGTTATGGCAATTATTAGTTAATATTAAATGGACCAAAAAAGAAAAAAAGAAGGAAAAAGATAATTTAAAAACAATGTCTAAAATTCAAACTAAAAAATCCGTGCACTGTAGAAACATATACACTTTTCTCCTAAACTACTAAGCCATTTTTTTTTTAGATTTGACAACTAAATTCACAGAATGATTCTAAAAATTCGATATAGTCATTGGTCATTTAGTTTCAAAATGGCGGCCGATTAGAGATTTCATATGTCTATATGTCGGTCAATATGTCAACAGATCAAAAATAAAAAATAAAGCTGAAAGCATCATACTAAAGCCAAAAATAATAGACCATTGAGAAATAAATTTCAGCCGTCTGCGGTTCTCCTCAAAGTCAAAAACCACGCCTAGTTAATCCCCGAAACTCGAAATTACCATCCAACATGCCGTTTTAAAATTATAACCTATTACTAATTTTATACGTCCCTATTCCTCCCATACAATAATAATAATAATAAAACGCTTAGCAAACCCTAAGGTTCAATGCTGACACCACCAATCGCTTATTACACACCTCCCTCCATCGATCGCTGTAGGAACCCAGACCCTCCAGATCGGACTTAACGCAATCTTCCCACCTTTTACAAACCTATTTAATTCGCCACGATGTAATCAGCTCAATTATATTAACCTGGTATAGTCCACGCAGTTCTGCGTTGTGTAACCGTCTAAACTCTCCGGTTAACTCATCCTTCTTCGGTCCGAATTTTCTATTATATTTTCAAAGACATTAAGAAGTTGTTCATAGCTTAATGTAAGTGGACACGTTTCGCATCTACAAAGAACCGTATATGGGATAAAGGTTATATAGATTCTAGTTTTTAAGTTTGGGCCAGGAAGCGCGAGCTAAGTAGTTCTTACATTTCCTGTCATACAGTGTAAAAATATATAATGTTTTAAAATTCTTATACTAAAGCTGAAAGAAAATCTTACCGTTGCTAAATAATAAAACTATATGTATGTATTTATTTTTTTACTTTAGTATAAATTATAAATGGATAAATTTTATGAAAACAGTTATACTGCTGCAAAATTTATATCTATTTTTTATTTATGTTTTTGTTCTCCCCTTCCTCGCCTTTTCGGCTACATAGAGCATTTTCTCAGGACAGACGGGAGGGCGGGGAATCGATTCTAGAGTTACCAAACCCAACGGCACCGTGGCGCGAACTCGGGTGATATCCTATGTTTTGACTATTGAATTTTGCATCAACTGAAACAATAGAGATTGTTTTCTATATTTCTTAGCAAATTACTTTTCTTAGCAAATGATGAAAAAAAAAAAATCACATTTATTTATTTTTTTCTCTTTATATGTGATTGCATTATGAGAAATTATTTCCATGAATTTATTAAATCGGTTATCGACTTCTTATATCAATCTTGCACAAGGATAAGGAACTATTATGTAAAGGAAGTATTTTCATTGACATCAAAACTGCTCTATGAATTTTCATAATATTATTATCAATTTTTGAAAATGGTTTCATTGATAAACACGATTGACATGTTAATTAATTTTGCTTGTAATTAACAATACATGTTTCAACCCACATGAAATACTGTAATCAGCATACAGAATCAAAGTGACATTAGAAGCCAAATTTAGAAATTAAGTGTCCAACCGGAAATATCGCGATGTTGCTAATCGTAGTGTAGGAGTAATGGTCGTTTGGAACATTCCTTGAATGGAGATGTCTTTACTAAGAAAACATAGTCAAATAACGCCTTTGAAATAAATAAAATAAAACAGGTCATGAGTAATTACTCATAACATATGTTCATCGAAAACATACCTTTGCTTATTTTCTCCATACACCTTGCCAATAGGTCTAATTGAATAAAATATACACTTGATTAAATAAGTAATTAATAGCACAAGTGTTTGCCCAGTGGCCGAAATTCGACCATAATCATAATAGAAAATCTGAAGAAAACATAAATAAATTTGCATGTTTCCAACATTTTTATTTCAACTCTCAAATATTCATATGTATTTACAATACAAAACAACGTCGTACAGTTTTTGTAATTTTTAGCTTTTTCGAAAATAAAATTCTGAATACAATGTTTTTTTTTTTTCAAAGACCAGTAATGCGGCTGAGTGAGAGGCGCTGGGATCTCCTAGAGTCCTGCCTTTCCTACCACGAGTGGAGGGAAAAACATGGCTCGAAGATCTTGAGTAAATGAATTTTGTAAATATTGTATAAGAGCACGCGTGTCTTTAAGTAGTTATTTTGTTTAGTTTAGTTTAGTTTCATTTATTTAGTTAATATACATTTACTTTTAGTATAATTATTTTGCTGTTTATATATTTTTTTATAGTACATAGTGTGAATGGGTTACTTTTCTATCACTATTACTATTACTATTGTCCTTATATGTAATAGTTACTAATATTTCTCAATAAAGAATTGAATAAGAAGTCTTTCAAAAAATATTTGACCCCAATTTCCTCTCTCGATCGCTCCAAATTGTTACATTTAAATATTTTAATCATACTATAGCAATAGGCCAATTTTTTTTTTTTTTTTTTTTTTTTCTAAATAGGCCAAATATAAATTTGTCATAATAGAGCTCTCCTAAAAAATATAAACCAAAAAATATGTTTAAAAAAATAATAAAAGTATATGATTATTGGATATGATTCTTTTTTTTTCGTTTTGTAGGTAATTCAACCTTTCAAGTATTCATACGTTTAATGCATCAAAAATTGTGTACTTTTTGAGTTATTCGCGAGTAAAATTCTGAATCCACCATCACTTTTTTTTCAGTCTCTTTTCAGGGAACTATGTTACATACATACTATGTTATACACTAGAGGATCCAGGATTTAATTTTTGGGGGGGCTTCAGCCCGAAAGCTGTTTTTTTCATAAAAATAACGATAATTACTTTGGAAAAAAAGAAAGAAACTAACTACCTGTATGAAATGGTGTCTAAGTGATTCCTAAAGACATTTTAAATGTAATTGCACAAACATTAATACTTTAAGATATACTTTTTTAATATATTTTTACGATAAAACATGGCTATATTTTACCATTTTGGGGGGGCTTCAGCCCGAAAGCCCCCTCCCCCCCCCCCCGTAGATCCGCCCGTGATGTTATATAAGGAATTCCAGTAAG